AAGTGATCATCAGTTTTCCTTTTAGCCAGCGGTTTAAGATGTTCCGGCCCGCAGCTGTTTGTTCCCGTTGCCTTGGTGCTGCGTTTATAGCTTCATAAGTGTCTAACTTGATGTGACTGACTTCTTTATGTGTACCAGCTGCGAAGGGAAGCTCTCCGCCGGCCAGCACTCCGCTTTGTCAGGGTCTTGCCCTCCGCTTCATGTTCCTGCGACGGTGTTTCTCCTTACTTAGTTGTGCTGCTTGACCAGGCGGCTTCCCTTGGGGCACTGTATTTAATGAAGTGGGCAAGAAGTAGTCATGAGGTCATCAGGTGGGATGCTGAGGAGTTAAAACATTCTGGTTGTGTCTAAGTATTTATTTACTTCAAAAATATCGTTAGTTGTGTGCATAAAGCAAAATTAATGACTCATCTTATGTGCTGTGATTACATGAACTTTTGTAAAATAAATTGTGACAAAAGCTTACTGCTTTTTTATCAGCTCAAAACCAAATACGGTCTTTTTTAACTTACAGGTTCTTGAGTGTGGAGTCTGTGAAGATGTATTTTCTTTGCAAGGTGACAAAGTTCCCCGGCTGCTTTTGTGTGGCCATACTGTCTGCCATGACTGTCTTACCCGGCTTCCCCTTCATGGCAGAGCAGTTCGTTGTCCTTTTGATCGACAAGTTACTGAGCTAGGTAAGAAAATGTAACTTTGAAGTTCCTGAAACCTGCCAACCGAGGATATCTAGAAGATAGTGCTAGATATAGGTTCTTAACGCTCCAGTTAGTGCTAATAATTTTGTGAATTATTTTCATTCAGAGAAGCTCATAGCACTATTAACCACTAGTAAAGTAGCTATCTTAGAAAGTATAGATTTTAACCTTTATTTTCTTGAATCTGGGCTTGCAAACTTTATACCTTGAAGTCTTTTTGTACACCTATATTGACAGAGAGCTATTCTTTTTTAAATTAGTGTGTAGGGGTTCCTGAACGAGTATTAGTTTCCTAAACACTAAAAATTAAGTGGGTAGCTTCTTTGACAAACTTTTGTATGGAGTTATGATGAAGTGATATAGAGGGAAGTATCAATGATAACAAACTTTTTTACAGTGTTAATTACCTCTACACATGCAATAAATGACACTGGCAGGATATCAATAGCAATTCCCCTACTGTCAGAGTGTCTGCAGTATTTGAAAGGGTAAGGTACACCTTTTTTCTAACAGTGGCAGTTTATTTGAAGGAAAAGATGACACATACTTATAATTTCTTGAGAATAAGAATTACCTGGTCAGCATAGGGTTACAGAGAAGACAAGTTATGGGAAGAACTTGTAATAAGAAGAACTCGTTAATAGAACTGGCTCCAGCAGTTTTGAATAGCACCAGGGGGAAAAAAACTGTTGGAAGGAGGAGAATCCTGAGAGGAGGACATCTCTAATCTGGTAATCCGTGAAAGAAATGTTTAAGAATCAAATTCGCTCAAATAAGACTTTACTGTGCAGTAGGAGAATCTGCTAGGTTGTAGACGAAACTGCAAAGAATATTAAGGCACTCTGCAGGATGTTTTCATGGAGATCAGAGTCAGGAGAAGTATCAGTCTCAAATGAAAGAGGGATTTGTTTTCTCGGCAGAGGGAGGTGGTAAGTATGGGCGTCATGAATGATTGCCAATCTAGTAGATGTGGCTAAAAGAGTAATAATTTGTTTAATTTCTTACGCGTGTCTGTACAGCTGCACAAGATTTCTTAACTATGCTTTTGAGAGAGAACGTTAGAGCACAGGACTCAGCTGTGCTGTTATGTAACATTTCTGACCAAGACCACTGTTTTTTATTGTAATGGGAAACTTGTCATTTCTTAGTTTTTATTGTGCAATTTTTCCCAGGAATCTGAAGGTGTCCTACCATAAATCTTTTGTGTGTTTCATGTTTGACGAAAATGAAGCTTTACAAAACCATCTACAGTTGGTTTTTTTCATCTTACTTTATACCAAGGAGTTTCTGATGAAAAACGATGAGATGTTATTAAACCTGTAAGTCCCCTACAGTTAGGAAGAGGGAAGAAAAGCTTCAGGATCTTTTTGCATCTGGGATAATAGACTTGCATCCTACTGGTTAATACTAGAAAGGATGATACACTGTGACCCACAGTTGCTCAAAAAATTATTAGGTAGAAAATCTTAGCAAAACAGCTTGAAAATAAAAATATTTTTGTGATTAAAAATGTTCTGCCTGGTGACCTGAGGCAGGAAGAGGTCATAGCCTTACCATGTCCATAAGAAGAGTCTTTCAGAAATATAACTGTGCCTCTAGGATGTAAAAATGGTTTTTTTTGTGGAGTGCAGCTCATCATGGCCCCTCTTTGAGGTGTACATGCATTTGTGACCTTGCTTGAATAATCACATAGTTACTGCTTAAACTGGTTAAATTTGCTGCACTTGTAGTTCTCTATTGCCCTGCGAGTTCAGGAGTGGAGCTGGGAGGAACAACTCTGGGACCAGGAGAACTCATCCTTCCCTCCCCTGTATTTGAGGGCATGTGAGAAAACACATGTTCACCCTGCTGCTATTCTACCATTTAATGAACTTAATGAAATAATGTTCTCTAGTCTCAGAGAGCTGTTTAGTATCTAAATTATGGGATCACTGCCAAGAGAAAGTTTTGTTGAAAGAAGAGCTGTAAAATCAGGATATAAGATTACCTGTGTTGAACACAGTTCCTTAATCAATGACTGTGGATTTTATGGGTACTTTTAGTTGGTCATTTACCTATGCTTGCTTTTTTTCCTTTACTCTTTTTACTAGAACACTTAATACTATAGTCATCCAAGTTTTCCCAAGGAATCTTGGGAACTTTTTGAAAGAAATACTCAGGGATCTGTATATGGATATATGTAGCTGTATTTTTTCTGAATTGGACTCTTGGTTTAAATTGACCTGTATATATAACTATATGGGAAGGCAAGGTTAGAAGTACTTTTTCAATCAGGATTTCTGGAAATATGTGATTTGCAGCTGAAAATTGACATGTTGTTTACATGCTTAGCAAAATACTCTAATAGTTCATAAAATCTTGTTATAAGATAAGACATTTAGTAATGTTTTCTCTCAGGTAGGACCAAAGCCTGCCTAAAGAATACTGCTTTGCAGAGTAGACTAAAGACTGAGCATTCTTTAATGAAGTTGCCTGTGATTAATCTTATAGTGGAGAATTTTAAATGAGGATGTACATGCTGAAGGTATGTGAACTGTCTAGTGGTTGTCTTCAGTTGAATTAACATTTTCTAACCAAAAAGATGCAATGGAAAAGCTTTTTCAATTTTTGAAATTTTGAAGCCATGTATTCTGGAGATTATATAGGGGAAAAATCCAATAAATGGTCTTTGTAGAGAAAGAGGCTCCTCTCAAAGCCTTTTTCTTAAAGCATGTTGATTTGGGACAGGAGGCAAATAATTTCTTGCAAGCTGCTTTTTCTCTTCCTGTGTTGGGTTAGTGGTTCTTTGGTTGGTATTTTGGGTTTTGGTTTTTTGTTGGTTTTTTGTTTGTTGGTTTGGTTTGGTTTGGTTTTTTGTGTTGGTTTTTTTTTAATTAATGCATGGACCAGGGAATTTTTAGGAAGGTTGTACTTCTATTACAGCTTTGGAGTCTTTATGCACCATTACTACAAAGCTGAAGCTATTTTCTGTCATTAAAACATGTTCAACAGAGATATGTAGATGATGACATCCTTCATGGAATCCATCTTATTGGTATTGTTTACATTTATACAGTCCTTTGCTAGTGTTTGAGTGCTAAGATAAAACTTCAACATACTGTGCAAGAAAATGCAGTTATAGCATTCTTTCAAATCTCTTCAGACATTTGGGCAAAAGTTGCTCCTTTATTCTGTGCCTTATTTGTAATCCTTTTGCAGACAGGCTTCATGCTTTTGAAATTGACATTTGTCTTGTTGGCTGAAGTCAGTGTTAATATTTTTGCTCTGTCACTGTCTCATTCCTGGCTGACACACTCCCTGCTATTCATGTCTTATTCTTCATCTGAGAAGGGACGGAGCGTGTAGTGACTTTGGTAATGGGCACAGACGTTCTTTGTAGGCACAGGGATGAGATCTCTAGACTCTTCTACGTTTCTGACCAAAGCTGAATTTGAGGTAAAGTCCAGGAGATTAAATAGATGTATTTACACTACTTTTTAGTGGGTTTATCTTTTAGTGGGTTTAAATATAAAATTAACATTTGATCAGATGTGTTGAAAATGTGTAGGTCAAGTACATAATAATTTTATAGCAGATGTGAAAGAAAATACTTCTTACGAAACTCTGTAATGACTGAACAGCTTCTTCCTCTCTTAGCCTTACCCAATGTTTGCTTAAAGCCTAAGACAATGTTTGCCTAAAGGCTAAGAGCTATAATCTATTCCTTAAGTGGATTTATTGTTTTGGTGTGTGTACATCCATTTATACAGGGCTATTAATGGCTATTTGGATTAGTGGCTAATGTGAAGATAAGAGGTCCATGTTAGCATCAGCAGTCATTATATTGATGTGTTGTTAATGTGAATATTTTATACGCAGTAGTAGCTGAAGGTTGTGCACAGTCAGTTTGCCGTGGTAAAGTGACGTTCTAAACACTCTAGAAGGGAACTCTCTAACCACTTGCAGGTGCTTTGTTTTTTGAGGGTTAGGATCCAGAAGTCTGTCTAGATACAGTGTCAGCAAATCCAGACTCTAGTTTATAACCTGGTTTGACATAATTTAGATTCTAAAACTGGATATACTGCTCTGTTTTTCTTCAACTTGTTATAGGAGGTGACTATTCCTTGCTCTGTGTTATGAGAAAAACACCATGATCTTGCAAGGAGTGCTACAGCTGAAAAATGACTAAGCTCTGAAGTCAGAAGATATCAAGGCAGATGGCTCTGCTGATGCTTAATGTAATTGTGGAGGACCAGATCATTCCTTCTGTAAACTCCTTCTAGATCTGTGGCAAACAAAAGTTGAAATATTTCTTTTTGTTTTGTTGGCAATTTATTTTGTGGAGTACACTGATCTTGGATTGGGTGTTAGTAATGCTATCTGTACCAGAGAAGGCTTCCACCGTGGAACTGATAACTGCAGAGTTGACTGACTTTGAAAGCACTGATTCTTTAGAGCATCTTGCTTTATAGCTAAGTTCAAAGCTACTAATCAGTGCTTTGATAGGCTCGTTTCTGGAAGCAACAGATTTGCTAAAATGGATGGTCTTTCCTGGTAAGCATATTTTTCTGAACAGGTAATCAGTATTGTTTTTCACCTTTTGAGGATGTTTGAGGGAGAATAGTTTATATGTGCTCCCATCTCTAGCTGTAGGAAAATGGTATCATCCATTTATCTATTCTCTGAACTTTGCCTTTAATATGTGAGGTACAAAACTTCTCAGTGGCCAAATTCAAAATAGTTTAAACTACAGACAATAACATTCTGAAAATTGACTAGAAAAGAAAGTTTCATGTAGTAAAACTGGAAGCTACATAAAGCATGAGGTGTACAGTGTGGGTGCCAATTGGATGCTGTTTCACATAACTGCTTGCAACTCATAGTTATCCATCTGTTCATTTGGAATTGGACTTTCACTCTAATGATACACCAAAATCTATGGAGTGTTTGATAAATCTCCATATTGAAGAAGGAAGACAAGACTTAATGTCTGTATAGCATCAGTGGAATGACAGTGAATTCCAGAAAGATGCAGGGGACATATTCCTGCCAGACTGCCACAGAGCAGCAGAGGAGTTAGGAAACAACATGGGACAACTGGACAATTCAAGTAGTCTGGGCTCTCTAGGAAAACGGAGAAACTGTGTGATGTAGTTTCTGTGAGTTCGTGTCAGATACCCAGTGTCTGAGAGACACTTGCATGTGAACTGAAAATGTCAAGAGTTTAGATGTTATTTGGAACCAGCCTCAGGCTCCAGCTGATATTCTATTAGTCTTTGCATCTGGATTATGAGACGCAACCAAACCTTTTTCCAGATCTGTCATTTATATTTTAAAATGTGTTTGTTTTCCAGATCATGCTTGAAGCAAAGTATGAATCTAATAAAGCAGTTACTTGCGTTTTAAAAAAGAACGGTAGTTTGTATTTTTTTTTTTGCAGTGAATGCCATAAGTTCACTAACAGTTCTTAGGTGGTTACCTGTGCATGAAGTATGAAACAAATACTTGTAATTCTGTAATTTCAGTTTTGTAATTCTACTTTATGCAGTTTTGTCCAGACAGTGGTGTCCCACACTCTAAAAAGTAATTGCAGTAACATTTTCTTGTCTTACAAACACAGTTCAAAAATTCCATCATAAAATAGAGTAGATGATTTCAGGTCCTACAGATTCTGTTTAAATATAAGGTGGCATTTTGAGGCACCTTCTTAGCTACAAAATGTTTATCTGTCAATACCCTGAGCACTACTGGTAATGTTGTCCCTTCTATGATTCTATTCAAGGCTAGCAAACCCCTGACTATTTCTTTTCCTGAATTTAGTAGGTTTTATACACTCAAGTAAACATCTGACAAAGAGTTGTGGGCAATGCTGTCTGCATGTTACCTTCCTTTCAGTGCACCAACATGCTCTGTTAGTATTCAGCAGTGATGTTGGATATAATTAAGTAACATCGTGAGCTTGTGTTTATTCTCAGATATGTTGTCCTCAGCACTGTTGAGGCCACATCTGCAGTACCATGTACAGTTTTGCACTCTCCAGTGCAAGCAGAGCTACTAAAGCAAAACATCAGTAAGATAATGAAGGGACTGGAGATCTCTGGTATGAGGAAAGGCTGAGAAATATTTTACAAATATCTGAAGAGAGGGTGTAAAGAAGAAAGTGCTAGGCTTTTTTCAGTGTGTCTGCTGACAGAACTAGAGGCAATGTGCACAAACGGCAACACAGAAGTTTGTGTGCACATAAGGAAACCCTTTTAAGTGTAAGAGTAACCAAGATCTGGCACAAGTTGGCCGGAGAGGTGGTAGAATCTCCCTTCTTGCAGATCTTCAAAAGCTACCTGTGTGTGGTCCTGGGCAACCAGCTGTGTGTGACCCTACTTGAGCATGGGGACTGGCAAGGTGGTGTCCAGAGGTCCCTTTCAACCTCAATAATTCTGTAACTCTCTTGTGGCTGAAAAGTAATGATCCAGTGCTCAAAGATGACACTTCATTTCTTGAGGGGCCTCAATCTTGCAACAGAGGAAATGTCATTAAATCTACAACAATTATGCTGAAAAAAGTCAAGGGATGATACTTCCTTGAAGAAGCAGTCACTAGGATTCATATGCTATGTGGCCTATGCAGGTAGCATTTAGGAGCAGTCATTGGGATGCAATTCTGGTTTTAGTTTTCATTGCATTGCTTCATATTACCTTCTACAAGATGAGGATGATACAGGAGTGGACATGGACTTCTGCTTTGCTGTAGGGAGTATGAGATATCTTCCTTTTTGTTAAATCAAATAGCAAAAAATGTGTTTTTTTCTTTCTGAATGTTGTTTTAACTCTTACTCAGGTTTTTACTGGATTGAGATCTGCAATAGGTGATGCATTTTGTGATTCAGGTAATATGAGGTTTGTCAGTAGGGAATTCGTCATACCTTCCATTAGTACAGTAGCAATGGACACTGTACTTATGAAAATAATAATTTTTATGGCACATGTATGTGCTTGTGTGTTCCTTGTATTCTTTAATTGTTAACTATTGTGGATTATATTAAGAGTGTTTTGACTTTTTAAAAAATTTTTAATAATCTTTTAGTTAGGGAAAATCTGTATGAATATTAAATAACTTCATGATTGAAGGAAGGAGGAGGATGGAGCGAGCTTACAGAAAAATTACTAGTTGTGTCTCACGTGGTTAATACACTGTAGTTAATATGCTCTTAATATTTGTCACAATCTCAACTAGTTTGTGCAATTTCTCAGAAAAACCTCAAGCAAATACCATTTTTTCTGCCCTTCATTTAAATCTTCCTCAAAAAGGAGATTCTGGAGTCTGGGGATTGAAAAAGAATTTTGCTTTGTTGGAACTCTTGGAACGGTTGCAGAATGGACCTGCTGGGCAGTGTGGGACAGCAGAAGAAGCCATTGGTCTATCTGGAGAGGTACTGAGTTATAAACAAAAAAGAAAAAAAAATTGTTACATTTGCTGAAGGTTATCTCTAGATAGAAAAAGATTGAAAATCAGTTCTTTGCCAAATGTAGTTTCACCAATGATATTGTTATTTTCTTCCAATATCTAGTATTAAGGCTTTAATTAATTGCCTCATAATTAAATGCAAATTTGTACTTGACCAATGCAGAAAATAAACAGGTATTAACAGGCATGCCTACTCTTTTCCCCTTTTTAATGATTTTAAGATGTTTAGATAAGTTTATTTATTTGGAAATTTTAGTTACAGTGGTATCAGTACAGTTTTTTAAAATTTCTGAGAAATTCTCCCAAAAGACTTCAACTCTTCTTCTTAGTAGTTACTTCTTATAGTCATTTGGTATCACTACATCATGTAGTAGTACTTCATTACCAAAACTAGCTGCTTTTATAATTTCAGTAATAAAAACTGGTGTGCAGGAAGTATCTTTGGTAGCATTCTAGAAATAGCTAACTTTCCTAAGTGCCTGTGAGTTCTTTGGTGTTTTGTTTGTCTGTAATTCCTTGTTCTGTAGTGATTGCTTTGGAGGAAATTACTGGAGCCAGATATATTTTCTCCTCCAAACCTTTACAATTTGCACTGAAGTTTATATTTATAAAATTGCTGAATGCTTCAGATTTTTATTTTTTAAAAGTTTATTGAAAACTTAAAGTCAAGTTTCAAAGTAGTCCAAATACCTATTAGTGTTTAACTTTTAGATAAACCCAATATTGTTGACAAGTTTTCTGATTTTTTTTTTTTCCTCCATTACTGGGGTTAAGTGCTAACAACTTTACTTTTGCTTTGTTTTGTTGTTGCCAGAGTATTATTCGTTGTGATGAAGATGAAGCCCACATTGCATCTGTGTATTGCACAGTCTGTGCCACTCACCTGTGTGCAGACTGTTCCCAGCTCACTCATTCTACTAAGACACTAGCGAAACACAGGCGTGTGCCTCTTGCTGATAAGCCTCATGAGAAGACAATGTGCTCCCAACACCAAGTGCATGCTATCGAGTTTGTTTGTTTGGAAGAGGGCTGTCAGGCGAGTCCTCTCATGTGTTGTGTCTGCAAAGAATATGGAAAGCATCAAGGTCATAAGGTACTTCTAGTAATTAATTTCTAGTCGTGCCATGGGGTGGCTTGCATGATTGCTTACCCAATTAAAGTACAAAAGGTTGTCAAGAAATGAGGGTGGACTCTTGGTATGTCTTCATACCGTTCTTTCATTTTCCCTTCATTTCAGATAGTTACCATTGTAAAATTAGAAGCAAAAAAAATTATTATTTCTAAGTCCTCAGTGAATTATTTTTTATATATATTATATATATATATATACATATATATATATATATGAAGAAGGATAGTCCCTTTATCTGCTGCTTTTCTGAACTTCTTACAACATTGAACCATCAGTTTTGAAAGCTGTTTTCATAATGTAAGCTCTACATACATATCACATCACTGGTGCAATCTAACCACCTTTATTTTTTAATAATTCATTATGATAAACAGGGAAATTTTTGTTTATTTGCATGATTGCTAGATGCCTGAATTTAGTTTGAGTGTAATCTATGACTCCTGATTGTGTTTTGAATTGCAAGATGATTTTAGATTCTTACTTGTCTTTCCTATATATATTTGTAAATATATGCCAACATACATACACATATATATTAAATATATGTGTAAAATAGGAAAGGTGATTAAGGAAGACATTTGTGATTGATTTATGATATTTTTCTTTTAATTAATAGCATTCTGTCTTGGAACCAGAAGCGAACCAGATTCGTGCATCCATTTTAGACATGGCTCACTGTATAAGAACTTTCACAGAAGAAATCTCAGATTATTCCAGAAAACTGGTTGGAATTGTTCAGCATATAGAAGGAGGAGAACAAATAGTTGAAGATGGAGTTGGAATGGCCCATACTGAACATGTATGCTTTTTTTTTGGTTTCCCTCACATGTACAGAATATTTGCTTTTTTGTTATAACCAAGATAAGGAATTTCTCTGAAAATTAAGTATAAGCTTTATAGGACAAGACAAGTTCTTATATCTTGCAAGTCAATATTGAGGCTTAAGTCAGCAGATAGAGGGGAACTTGTAGTCTCTTACAATGTTTTTACAATGTCTCTTTACAATGGGAAAAGTTGTGTGACTGCTAGTATTGACATACTGTGACAGATGTCCTCAGGTGCTGTGATACTCTTGAGGCTTTTTTCCCTGGTCATTTTTAGGAAGGTGCATATACATACAAATAAGCTACTTGATTGTAGGAGTAACTTCTTGGAGGATCTTGATATTATACAGAAAGTCTTGTCAGCCCTAACTGGGATTTGAACTGTGTGTAGCCAAGCAGATAGGAACATAAGTTAGAACCTGAAATAAAATAAAAAATATACTTCTGGAATCAACTGGTGTTAATCTTCTGGATCTCCTTACTGCAACACTGTAGGTACCAGGAACTGCAGAGAATGCTCGCTCATGTGTCCGAGCCTATTTTTCTGACCTTCATGAAACCCTGTGTCGTCAGGAGGAAATGGCTCTTAGTGTTGTTGATGCTCACGTGAGAGAGAAGTTGATTTGGCTTAGGCAACAGCAAGAAGACATGACCATCCTCTTGTCACAGGTTTCAACAGCTTGTCTTCACTGTGAAAAGACTTTACAACAGGTAGGTTGACAAGTGAGCTGTAGCATATGGCAAGATATATGGAACTACAAATTAAGTTTAAACCACAGAAAAAAAAGAGGTTAGATAGTACTCCACATTATTTCTTTACAAAGTTAAAATAATGGTGGTATAACATGAGATTTCAATATTCATTACAAGGGGCTGTTAGACAAGGGTAATCAGTATGAAAGCATAGAGTCCTCCAGTTGCTTTAAGACCTGTGGCATGACTCTTTTCTTGGATAATTTCTGGTATTTGTGAGGTTTGTAGGAATGCAAGATGAAACTGAAACAAAAAACCCTACAGGATTTATTGGAAGGATTTTACAGCTGCAGTTAGCAGTATAGGTGTTTGAAGGTAGTTGTCATACTGGCTGGTAGAAAAAAATGTTATAGGATTAAGTAACTTTTAGTAACATTTTTGACATAGGTAATTGAGCATCTTAAATGTGTGAAGAAAGTGACTGTATGAGAGTGTCTGATTGGTCTGTTATTCAGTTTAATTATAGCAAGAAGTAAATAGTATGTGTAGCAACAGTAAACCAAGTGTGAGAAACTACTTTAAGATATTATTTGTACTTTTTTTTCAGATAGGTTTAGAGGTAGTGTCTGGTTGCTTAGTCAGATTTATCTATGCAAATTTTCTGATCATTGATGGGTGGATATTAATATTTTCCTGTTAAGTGTGTTGATGTATGCTGCCAAGCAATTGCTCTATTCTAGCTGCTGGAGTGATTTATGAATTATATAAATATTCTTTATATATTAAATTATTGTCTCTTATAATTTATATTCTTATTCCTACATGGCTAAGAAAGGTTTAGGAAAAAGTACTTTTAAACTGCAGAACTATTCAGTGTCTATTAGTGTTAAGGTACTCATATTTGTATTACAATTTTAAAAAAATCTGTTTTGTAAATGTGGGTTTCTTTAACTACAGTATTTCTATTTAAAATGTTTTATTTCTTGCAAACATATCTATATTATACTTGGCTTTTTAAAGTAAATTACTAAAGAAAAGGCATGCTTTTGTTTTCTTTGTCTGTTTAGGATGACTGCAGAGTAGTGTTGGCCAAACAGGAAATTACAAGATTGCTAGAGACATTACAGAAACAGCAGCAGCAGTTTACAGAACTTGCAGATCATGTACAGTTGGACGCTAGCATACCTGTCACTTTCACAAAGGTATTCTTAATCTCATAGAAGTACAGCTATCCACTTTATAAAGTCCCAAATGTAGTTTAAAAAAAGGCAGGAGTAATATATGTTCATTATGATGCTGTATTTGTTGGAACAAATTTAGGCAGTTCAGTGTCAGTTAGAGCCATAGTGTGTTATCACACAATGAGTGTAATCTCATACTTGAGCAACATAATGACTGTGCTGCCATAATTGGAGTGAGAAATGTTCATTTGACATTGACCACATCAGTAGCTTTGTTTGAATGTTAGCTGTTTTCTTTTTAATATGTAGGATAGCATTTGTGAGTTCTAGGAACACCTTTCTTTGGAAAGAAATATCCTTGATTGTTCCCTGAAAACTGCACACCTATTTTATATACAATACTACTGGTATACCTCTCAGTTTATAATATTAAAAATAATGTGTTTCAGTTCATTAAATGATCATTTGTCTTATATTTGTGTTGTATTCACTGATAGCTTAGACAAGGTTATCTTCTAAATAGGTTTGGGTTTTATTACTTCAGTATAACTTCAGTACAATATTCTTTGAAAGGGATGAAATTATTTGGAGTTTGATAATGGTACTTTTATCTGGTGTGTGTATCTTTATTATCTATCATACTTTTCACATAGGAAAATTAATTGAATTTGAAACTCAAGGAACAAGAACTCATTTGATTTATGAGGTTTCTTGGTTCTGAATGGGTGAATGAGGAATAGGATCTATTGTTGCTGAGATGTAACTGAGGAAATGGATGCTTGCATGGGGATTCTGTGTCAGCCCTTGTTGATATCCGAAGTTAAATTTCTTCCAAATAATTTATTTTGTAACATTGGTATATTTGAATTTCCATTTAAATGCAACATTTTAGCTTTTGTCCATCCCTTAGCTATTCAGCAGAGACCAGAGTTGGTAGGGTCAGGACGATCTCCTCTGCAAACTCCCATTATGCCATGAATGGAGCAGCATTCACATTTCACAGAGGAACAGTTACTGAGTCAGAGGGTAATTTTGGGTGTCTTATTTTGCCTTTAGGAGCTGTCATCTGGCTCAGAAAATTTTCATTGTGAATCTCTGAGTATTTGGAAAAAGAATGGTAGGAGCCAGCTAAGCTGTTACAGGAGGTCTAAATAGGTCTTGGCTCAAGGGACTCGAGACTTGGTTTTCTCCTATAACAAATTGGTATTTTTACAAAGTCTTCTAAGGGTTAGTTTCTGAATTTCAAAGGTGCCAAAGCAAATGTCATTTTTCTCAGAAACAGCAGCAACCCTGAAAAAGTAAGGTGAAAATAATTACTTGCATTTCTTACTTTTTGTTTCCTCACTTCTGATAAAACTTAATGGTCTCTTTCTGCACAACATGTTTTTATAACACTGTTGTGCTGATGGCCACTGTTGTGACTTGCAGTGAGGCTTGTTGTACTTGAAAGATCTGTGCCTCACAATAGATATCAGACAGAAATAAAATCTTCAGATAAAAAACTGTAAACTGTTATTGCATCACTGGAAAGGTCTCTCTCAGGATCTGTCACTGTGCTGAAGGCTGCATCCATTATGAAATGAAAAAAGCATTTCAAACAGTACTAGATCAGAGGAACATTCCATATTCAATGAAGATAGTGAAAGTTTAAGGAGGGCAGAGAGAAGTCCTTTTCACTTTTAAAAGTGAATAGATCTCATCCTTATTCTTTTGTTTCACTGATGACACAAAAAAAGCGAGAACAGTGCCATTACCTCTTCTAAACCATCCAGGGAAATGCCACATATAAAGAGCTTTTGGTACCAAGATTTAAGAAAAGAAGTTTTACTTGAAGAGAAGTCGCAGATTACCTGGTTTTAAGTATGCTACCAAGTTATGCAGCTGCCAGAAATACAGACAGAAAGGTGTTTTACTGGTCAGGCTTTTTTGAAATAACATTTTAAGTTAAAGGTGCTGGATACTGTTGACAAGGAAAGACTTTTAGTCATGTCGGTTTCTAGCTGTGATCATGAGTAGTCAATTACTACTGACTCATATTACAGGTCCATACTGCTATACATTGTTCTCTGGATAGCAGCTTTTCTTGCAAGGTTTTTCTTGAAGTGACAGAGCCACTCCTGCAAAAAGCAGAAATTTGGTGTCTTTCACAGATTGCATTTTGATTCCTTCTGACAGAGTACAAACATGCTGAGAGCAACCTATTTTCGCTCTGAGACTTACAGAAAGCAAACTGCAACAGGATGGCTAAAGTTCACAGCATCATTCACCTCCTTCACTTCCCTGGTGATTTAAGTTGTACTCCTGCTCTCCAGCCATAGGAGCTGAAGAGGTGACTGGTGCTTCTGGTGGAGTTGTGGCAGGATTGCTGGGCTGAATCACTGTCAGCAAGCTCTGGACGTAACAGGGGGCTGCCTCCAGGAAGAAACTTGATAAACTCAACAGCTCCCTCCAGAGCTGCTGCTTTTCCTTCCTCTTTCCTTGCAGGTACAGAGAACTGGGAACATTCATTGACAAAAATTTTAGGCAAAATCAGAACAGATTTGAGTGTGAATAGCATGCTGGAGACATCACTTTTTAGACTCTTTAAAGCCTGTTGCATACTTGTTGCTTTTTCTCTTTCTCTGCACCTTTGCTGCTGATGTGCTGCTGTGCTTATCAAGAACCTGCCCGCAGGTTTTTCTTCTCCAGAAGGAGGTAATCCTTTCTGGTAACATGCTGTGTCACAGTGTTCTCACTGAATTTTACAAGTTCTGCGCTGACTCCAAATATGTAGAATTTAGAGGACATTTATTTACTTTTATTAAAAAGTAAATAAGTCTCAATGTTTTATTTTTCAAATCTTAAATATTCAGTTAGTCTTTGGGGTTTGGAGCATCTGCCATGTGTAATAGTAGCACTGAAAATGCTGAACTTTCACAGATTCATATGAAGTCACTTTTTTCACAATAAATAGGTAGCCTGTGGAGTTCTGTGTTAAGGATCATCTGGGCCTATTTAGGTTTCGAGCAACAAACAGACAAATCCATAGGTGAACAGTACACTGAGATCTGTTAGTTGCAGAAACTGCAGTACTGACTCAGTAAATCCCTGAGCTGCAAGCTGTTAAACACAGGGAAGGTATTTAGGAGAGTTATCACTATGATAACTTGTTTCTTACTTTTGTATCCATCTTCGCCCAGTTTTAGAGAGCATACTGGATGAGATGAACCTTTGATCTGACTCTTGCAGTCATGATGTTGCTGACTTTTGCATTCTGGTATTTGCATAATTTTTAGGTTTTTTTAGAAAGCAGTTTCTCAAGGTATTTTTACTCTCTTCAGAGGTTGTGAAAGTATAACATCATTGAGTTACTCTGTATTGATTATTTTGAAAGTGTGCTGCTTCATCATCTGTGACAGAAAAGAGGATGAAGTTGCTTGTCACAATGACAATATATCCAGCTGTATAATGGATCCTCTGTGTGTGTGTGTGCATATCTCAAGTCATGTGATGTAGATGCTTATACGTCCAGTCACACTGGTGACATGTTGGTCAGGAGAGGTTGTAGCATTTTTGCACTCAGCAGTATTTCTAATGTGAGAGGAAATAAAAGGCTGTCTAGAGTAGGCACAGGTTTGCCTAGCACAGTACCGTGTGGATTTTGCAAGAAAACAAATGTATTGCTGCATAGTTCTGATGATGGATAGTCTGGTGTTTCATCAGCAGTTCTTAGTCCCTCAAAATATGTTTCAGGGACACATAGTAATTTTATCCTATGTTACTTCTTTTACCATTTATGTTTTACCAGGTGATCACATTGCAAACAGCCTGTTCAATACTTACAATAGCTTGGTGTGAACTATGGAGAGGAAGTTGATTCTCATTCCTTGCATCCAAGCAAGACCCTGGGGAGTTGTTTGTTCTTCTTCACTGTTTGAGATTACTGCTTGTTGCTAATAACATTGCTGATTTAAAAGATTGGAAGAGGCTTGAGGTGAAGAGAGAGAGCTGTGGAGCCCCCAGTAGTTCTCTAGATGGAGGCATTAATACTGTGAAAAAATAGGGAGATCTCTGTTCAGAGAATTCCAACTAGTACCTACAAACAATTCCTCATGTGGTTTCAGCCAAGAATGATGAAAGACTTTAAAATTTTAAGAAGTTCAGACTTACTGTCATGAAATTGGCCGACTTTTTAAAAGACATGCAGTAACTCAGGTAGAAGTTAGAAGTTTGTTACAGAGATTATTGGATATTTTCATTTCTATTGCTGGAGGTGATTGGTCATTGTGCCATGTATTTTTGGAGTCAGTCCGTTTAATCATTTAACAAATGATTAAACAGTCTTCAACAGTAAGACAGGTTGTCCTGAGGACAGCTGGCTTCTGGAGCTTGTAGAAAGAGGTAAGAATCTGAACAGCCCCCCTGTAATCCAGAAGGAAACAGTTAGGGACCTGCTGAGCAGCTTGGACTCCTACAAGTCTATGGGACCAGATGGGATCCACCCAAGGGTGATGAGGGACCTGGCAGAAGAGCTTGTCAAGCTTCTCTCCATCATCTGCCAACAGTCCTGGCTCACTGGGGAGGTCCCAGATGATTGGAAGCTGGCGAATGTCACGCCAATCCACAAAAAGGGCCGGAAGGAGGAGCCAGGAAACTACAGACCTGTCAGCAGGCCTGACCTCAGTGCCTGGCAAGGTTATGGAGCAGATCATCCTCAGTGCAGTCACACAGCACCTACAGGATGGACAAGGGATCAGACCCAGCCAGCACGGGTTTAGGAGGGGCAGGTCCTGTCTGACCAACCTGATCTCCTTTTATGATCAGGTGATTGGCCTGGTGGATGAGGGGAAGGCTGTGTCAAAAGCCTTTTTTAAGACAGTGTCAAAAGCCTTTGACACAGTCTCCCACAGCATACTCCTAAAAAAGCTGTCAGCCCACGGCTTGGACAGGGGCACCCTGTGCTGGGTTAGGAACTGGCTGGAGGGCCAGGCCCAGAGAGTGGTGGTGAACGGTGCTGCATCCAGTTGGCAGCCGGTCACTAGTGGTGTCCCCCAGGGATCAGTGTTGGGCCTAGTTCTGTTTAATATCTTTATTGATGATTTAGATGAGGGGATTGAGTCCATCATCAGCAAATTTGCAGATGACACTAAGCTGGGGGGAGTGTCAATCAGCTGGAAGGCAGGAGGGCTCTGCAGAGGGACCTGGACAGGTTGGAGAGTTGGGCTGATTCCAACTGGGTGACGTTCAACAAGGCCAAGTGCCATGTCCTGCACTTTGGCCACAACAACCCCATGCAGCACTACAGGCTGAGGACAGAGTGGCTGGAGAGCAACCAGGCAGAGAGGGACCTGGGAATTTGGATTGACAGGAAGCTGAACATGAGCCAGCAGTGTGCCCAGGTGGCCAAGAAGGCCAGTGGCATCTTGGCCTCTATCAGGAACAGTGTGGCCAGCAGGACCAGGGAAGTTGATTCTTCCCCTGTACTCAGCACTGGTGAGGCCACACCTGGAGTACTGTGTCCAGTTCTGGGCCCCTCAGTTCAGGAAGGATATTGAGGTGCTGGAGCAGGTCCAGAGAAGAGCAACAAGGCTGGTGAAGGGACTCAAACACAAGTCCTGTGAGGAGAGGCTGAGGGAGCTGGGGTTGTTCAGCCTGGAGAAGAGGAGGCTCAGGGGAGACCTCATCACTCTCTACAACTCCCTGAAAGGAGGTGGTAGCCAGGTGGGGGTTGGTCTCTTTTCCCAGGCAACTATCAGCAAGACAAGAGGGCATGGTCTCAAGTTGTGCCAGGGGAGGTTTAGGTTAGATATTAGAAAGAAATTCTTTACAGAGAGGGTAATCAGGCATTGAAATGGGCTGCCCAGGGAAGTGGTGGATTCTCCATCCCTGGAGGTTTTTAAGAAGAGACTGGATGTGGCACTTAGTGCCATGGTCTAGCAACCTCAGTGGTAGTGGATCAAGGGTTGGACTTGATGATCTCGGAGGTCCCTTCCAACCCAACTGATTCTATGATTCTGTGAAATGGTGGGAGAATGTGTGTTTTAAACACAAGGGTTTTCTGTATTTAATTTCCTAAGTTTTCTGTCGTTTTGTGTATTCTGTTTCTTCTAGGACAACAGGGTACATATTGGACCAAAGATGGAAATTCGGGTTGTCACTTTAGGATTAGATGGAGCTGGCAAAACAACTATTTTGTTTAAGTTAAAGCAAGATGAATTCATGCAGCCAATTCCAACAATAGGTTAGTAGCTACACTTTAAATGTAATGACTTTTCCAAATGTTTGACTTGTCTGCAGGGTTTGGTTCTTTTATATTCATACAGAGCAGGACTGTAAAACTTTAATATTTTTATTCCAGGTTTTAATGTTGAAACAGTAGAATACAAGAATTTGAAGTTTACTATTTGGGATGTAGGAGGAAAACACAAATTGAGGCCCTTGTGGAAACATTATTATCTGAATACACAAGGTAATACTGCTACAAGTTTTATACTGCATTTGGTGTTCTAGCTTGTATTTCAGAGCCAAAAAGATTATTAATAGAAATAATTTATAACAGCAGAAAATTGTTCATCTAATGCAAAATACAGCTGCTGGACTCATGAGCAAAGAAATTTTAATCCAGTTGGTCATATTTTCTGCTGCATGATAAAGGTGCATTCTCCATAAATCCATCAGACAGTTCATGGAGCCAAACAAAATTAGAAGCTCTGTTAAATTGGTTTAGCTGACAACAGACAAGGTGCAGTGTTCCAGAGTTTGCATAGTGAGAAGCAGTACTTGCCAGGTGAAATTTTAATAGCACTTGAAAATACTCAGCTTTCAGGAGCTTTCATTTAGCAACTTAAAAAATTCTGTGACATTCTGTAACTTCTGACTTGGTATTGCACTGTAATATCTGGTTGTAGACTAGCTTATTGATTATGAAAACATTAATCTGTATGGTGCCAACTTAGAAATTCACGCTGTCCTTCTGTAAATCCTCCATAGGTTTTTTTCCAGTTCAGAAAGGGATTCCTCTTCATTGATTCATTCATAATTATCTGAAACACTTAAGAGTTACAAACACCAGTTTATGTGCTGCACCTTGTGTGTTGTTTCAGCCTTAAATGCAAGCTTCAACACTTCAAATTACTCATCTTTTCAAACTTCTAAAAATTATATTTTGGGGTTTCTGTTGTCCTCTTAGAACATATCATGTAAAGTAGCAGGGAATCATTCCCACCTTGAGAATTGTTTGTTGAAGAGAAAGCTAAGCAGTTAGCCTGCTACGTACCTGCAGTAGTTTTTATTTACTTTTGATGTTGGGGGTTTTTTTCGTTGCAAAACCACTGAGTTTAAATTCTGTCCTCTAGCTCTGCCTCCCTGACTCTTCAGTTTTTCTGGCATCTTAGTTACTCTCTCTAGTGAATAGTAAAATGTGCTACTATGTTGGGTCCATGGCAGTCTTCTCTGGCTTGTGTAGTCTGTAGCTGAGGGAAGCCATGCTGATTTGGCTGAACTGTGGATATTACAGGCTGCTAAGGGAAACTGAAACAGTCATGTGGGACTTGATGGCATATAAACGGTTCAAGATACGGTTTAAACTGAGGTACTTTATCCACGCAGAGTAAATCTGGTTTTAGACCTGAGTAGTTAAAATATCCCAGCCTATGTATTAGACCAGGAAAAAACTTAGGCTTTTTTTCCTTGTTTTAGGATGAATTCTAGGTTTTTGTTAAAAGTTTAGAGGTATGTAAGGAATTTCTTAGTCCTCCTGGATTTGAAATTACAGCTGTGCACCACTGAGAAACTTTACATATAGAGCTGCTAGAAAAAAAGGAATTGTGTAAGCTGAAAGGTAATTTTACAGAGTTTATTTTTTAACATGTGTAAAAGATTTCTCTCTTTCTTTCATAGCGGTGGTGTTTGTTGTTGATAGCAGTCACAGAGACAGGATCAGTGAAGCATACAGTGAACTTGCGAAATTATTAACAGAAAAGGAATTGCGGGATGCCTTGCTCTTGATCTTTGCTAATAAACAGGTACTTGTGATTTATTTTTACTCTTCTCCTCAGCTTGTGTATCAAATTCCGACCCTCTGCTGTGGGTAGGGAATGGTAACATCGAAAAAACATAAAATGTAGAAGTTTCCCTTACATGTAATGCTGGTTAAGTAAGTGTTGCTAGAGTGGTTGGTGGATTGAACAACTTTTTGTTTTATGGTAACAGGTGGTAAGTGCTTAACTGTTGCACTTGACTTTTGTGTTTGGAAAGCTTTTATATGATCTATAGCTCAATCTAAGTGATCAGTTTAAAATAAAATGCCTTCAAACATATTACGGAAGAATAATGGAGTGTTTGCATCCAATTCTATTGCAGGATGTAGCAGGTGCACTTTCGGTGGAAGAAATCACAGAACTGCTGAGTCTCCACAAACTCTGCTGTGGCCGTAGCTGGTATATTCAGGGTTGTGATGCCCGAAGCGGTACAGGACTTTATGAAGGATTGGACTGGCTTTCCAGGCAGTTGGTGGCTGCTGGTGTCCTGGATGTGGCTTAGTTTTACAGTAGCTGCAATTTAAGGTTGTACTTTATGGTCTTGTTCGCATGACCAGGATGTTGTCACCAGGTCTGCTCTCTGAAGAGGGGACTTCATTTAACTTGGTGATTACAGAAAAATAAGGCTTTATCCTAGATTGGATAACTGGTTCAGTAAACTTCTGCTGTTACAGTGTTTTTGAAATTTGATAGTAGTGGAATAGGCTTGTTACAAGGATGTTATGAAATTCTTTTTAGTGAAATTGTTACAATTTAAAATTCTTCCCTGATAAAATCTGCGTTGGAGTTCATACAATAATTGTAATGATGTTATAGTAGGTGATTAGTGTTAGAAAAATTCTGAGTGGTTTAGAAATACTTTCCCGTGAAAATATTCCAAAAATCCATCTCAAGTTATTAGAATAGCCATCTCTAATAGTCAGAAATAAATGGTGCTACTCTTTAATATCTAAAGAATCTATTAATGTAAAGGTGGCATTCAAGCTTAAATGTAAATACACCATATAAAGAGTTTCCCCTCTATTTATTAGCTTCCTTGTTTGTTATCAGAAGGCAGCATACCTGCATAAAGAAATCCCAGAATGGAGAACTGTGTTGCAGAGCGAGGAGGCTATGGCATAGTTTAGCTACTCCTTTTCTATCGGGGGGGCAGGGGTTAGTTGGGTTTTTCATGCTAAGTTATTTATGGACACACTGTAGTGATACTGAGGTGAAAGTGTTTTGTGCATACTTGAGGACATAATCGGCCTTTAAAGATTAAGTTTACTCCTCAAGAAGTCAAATTAAATTTTAAAAAAACTTCTTAAAGAAGTAGTGTGCTGTAATGTCAATCCAGCTATGTACTTTTATGTAGAAGTCATGCTTCCAGATTAAGGTAGTGGCCTTAAAATATTCAATGACATAATGGAAAACCAGTGTACACTAATTATAACTCTTATTTAGAAGAGTAGATAGTAAAATGTGATATAAACCTTCCATAATTAGATATTCAGTTCTTTCTGTATCTTCTACATGGAGTTGTTACCATTGCCTCTATTTTTGAAGATTATGCATTCACAAACTCACGAAATATGGGTGTAGTGCTGTTTAAATTTAGAGAAGGTTGCAGTGACTTACGGTGTCTGTTTTTCTGCTGGACGTGCAACTCTGCTAACAATTTTATCTGTCTGGTATGTGCACCAGAACCTTCTGCCCTTCTCTTTTAGTGCATGGCCACTGCCAGCTGAAGAAACCATGCCATCAATTCTCCTTCGTGTTAGTAGAGGAGCTACAAAGAGCATGACCAATAGATCAAAACTGTGTATCATCACTTTTCTTACTGGAGTAGAGATGAGTCAGGAGAACCGGACTGTGGAAGTGAACAGTGTTCCACAGATGTGGAGATATTTTTGCCACACTGGAAAGTGTGCTTACCTGTGAGAGCTCTGAACCTCACGGGGCAAAGAAAGTGTATCCCATTATCTGTGGCTATGGCTTTCATTGTCACTTTGGTTTCCTACTGCATACCTTAGGTAAAGCCAAGAATGTATGAACAAATAGTTTTAGTACACTTGCACTTTTCTTCAGGCGGAATTAGTTGAGGTAACTACTTCCTCATAATGTCACTTATTTGTATTTTTCTCTTGTTACTTAAATTTCAGGTAAATGGTGTTAAATGCAGCTTCAGATTCAGCAGGTATAATGACTTGAATAGTACCTGAAAGAACACTAAGCTTCAAAGTAGTATAATGTTTGCAAAATGAATTTCAATGCCTACATAGGTACTGAGACAGGGTATTTACTCTCTCTTCAGACAAGCTGATATATTTGGAAATAGCTTATAACAGAGTAAAAGGTGGGGTTTTTTGCACCTACCAAACTTTAAATTTGGCTGTCTTTCCCAGCCTGTAACTTCTTGAATGATATACAGTTGACTGCTCTGACTTGAGCATCTGCTTAGCCTGTACTGTGGAGCAACCCCTACCTAGTTAGGGCTTACTGTCCCTTCACAGCTCTTTTCACAACTCTTTTTGAAATACAGACAAGTTCTGCTAAGTATGGTCGATATCTTTTCCTGGAATATTTGTAACAGAAGACATGCATTCTTTAGAAAAATCCTGATTCTATAGTTTTATTTTAGCTGACTTAAGCTTCAGTTACACATGCTGCTCAGTTCTATTTCAAAATATTCAAGGTGACTAGTTTGGATTCGATGTGAGGGCAGAGGAAAAATTTTCACTCATGCATATTTTTGAGTACAAGTGGTTGCTTGTGACATATGGAATGCTACCGTAAGTGTTTTTAAACTGAGTTTATTTAAGATGACTTGAAGTAACTGTGAAGGTGTTACGTTTGTCTGTGAACTCTTTGGTGTAAACAGGTACACTAAGAGGTTTATTTGTATACTGCTTCAGTTATAAATTTAAGCTTGTTTCCTCAACTTTACTGAACTTTAGTTTTTGGTGTACTGACTTATGCAATATGTAATTGGAATATTTTCTCAACTAGAACTCACTCAAGCATTACTAACTGCGAGGATTGTCTGAAAAGACTGAATGACTTCTCAAATGATTTTGACTTAATTCTGAAATTGAGTAAATGCAACATCCAGTGACTGTGTTGTGGCTTTCTTTAAAGTATATCATCTCGAAAACAGTATGGTTAAGGTTAGGCTGACTGAAAAGTAATGTTTTATGACTTGGTATGATCTTTCTGTATTCTGCCTTCAAAGTTATTGTGGACTATGAGGGTTTGCTTCTGAGAATGTTGGAATAGATGTGGATGTTATGTAAATTTCTTGGAAGAAAGGGCTTTTTTTAGTGGAGCTGCTGCAATTTGAGTTGCCCAGAAAATTATTTCTTTTCAATAAAAGTATGTAAACCCTGGAGAGCTACCGTTAATAAACTTGCCTTTTTGGATTTTTTAAGGTCATCTCAAGTTAGAGGTATGCTACATTTAACTTACTGTAGAATTTTTCTTAATGATCCATGAAAATCCTTTATCTCACTAAAGGTAAACTTTCAGGTGGCAGCAGCAACTTTTGAGAGACTGAGTTTGATTATCATGCATCATATCTCAATTCATAAATTAAGTTACCAGAACTGTAAACTCTTGAGTCTTTTATGAGTGCAGTGGTATTATGTGAACATAAACAGCCAAGGTAAATATTACTGGTTTTAGAGTAGACTTAACTATGCAGCGTAGTAACAGGACTCTATCTAGACACAGATTGGCAACAGCTTGAGGAGTTGTCTGAGCTTTCACTGAGGACCTGCTGTTTGTGAGCAGAGGGCTGGTCAGAGGCTCTCTTGGGCAGAGAGATCACAAATAAGGTTTTGCTTCTTGAAGAAGGAGAGAAGGCAGCAGATCTTCCACCTTGGGCTTTCAGAGGGCAGACTATGGCCTGTTTAGCAAACTAGTTGAGAGAGTCCTTTTAGAGGTCAGTCCTGAAGACCAAAGGAGTCCAGGAAAGCAGAACATTGTTCAAGAAGGAAATCCTAAAAAGGTGCAGAAGCAGGGTGTCCCCATGTGCTGAAAGATGAGCCAATGGGTAAGAAGTCTGGCCTGCCTCAATGGAAAGCTTTAGCTGGAACTCAGGGAGAGAGAGTGTATGACGTCTGGAAGAAGGGGCAGGCAACTCACCAGGACTCCAAGGATGTTGTGAGGTTATGCAGGGAGAAAATCAGAAGGGCCAAAGCCCAGGTAGAACTTAATCTGACTACTGCTGGAAAAGACAACAAAAAATGTTTTTACAAGTACATCAGCAACAAGAGGAGGGCGAAGGAGGATCTTCATCCTTTACTGAATGCAGGGGAAAACAGTGATGACAGATGAGGAAAAGGCTGAGGTACTTAATGCCTTCTTTGTCTCAGTCTTTTAACAGTAAGACCAGTTGTCCTCAGGGTTTCCAGTCCCCTGAACTGGAAGACAGGGATGAGGAGCAAAATGAAGCCCCCGAAATCCAGGAAGAAATGGTTAGTGACCAGCTACATCAGTTAAGACACCTGCAAGTCTATGGGACCGGATGAGATCCATTAAGGGTACTGATGAAACTGGAGGAAGACATTTCACCAAGAGACTTAATCAAGACACTTTCAATCATTTACCAGCAGTCCTGGCTAACTGGGGAGGTGACTGAAATTTGGCAATTTTAACTCCCATCTGCAAGGGTCAGAAGAAGGGTCCAGGGAACTACAGATCTGTCTGTCTAACCTTAATGCCAGTGAAGGTTATGGAGCAGCTCATCCTGAGTCCATCACATGGTATGTGCAGGACAATCGAGATCAGCCAGCATAGCATGGGTTTATGAAATGCAGGCACTGCTTGACCAGGTGACCCGCCTAGTGGGTGGGGGAAAGGCTGTGGATGTTGTCTGCCTGGACTTTAGTAAAGCCTTTGACACTGTCTCCCACGTAGCTGTGGGGAAACTGACAGCTAATGGCTTGGACAGGTGCACTCTTCACTGGGTGAAAAACTAGCTGGATGGACAAACTCCGAAAGTGGTGGTGAATGGAGTTACATCCAGCTGGCAGCTGGTCACCCTGGGCTCAGCATTGGGGCCACTCCTGTTTAATATGGAGTGCACCCTCAGTAAGTTTGCACATTACTCCAAGTTGGGTGGGAGTCTTGATCTGCTGGAGGGCAGGAAGGCTCTGCAGAGGGATCTGGACAGGCTGGATCATGGGCTGAGGTCAATGGTATGAGGTAAAGGCTGGGGGCAGAATGGCTGGAAAGCTGCCCAACTAAAAGGACGTGGGGGTGATGGTGGACAGCAGCTGAACAAGAGCCAGCATGTGCCCAGGTGGCCAAGAAGGCCAATGACATCCTGGCCTGGATGAGCAAGTGTGGCCAGCAGGACCAGGGCAGTGATTGGCCCTTTTGTATGCAGCACTGGTAAGGCCACACCTTGAATCCTGTGTTCAGTTTCGGTCACTTACTACAAGAAGGACATTGAGGTGCTGGAGCATGTCCAGAGAAGAGCAACAGAGCTGGTGAAGGGTCTGGAGCACAAGTCTTACTAGGAGCGGCTGAGGAGAAAAGGAGGTTCAGGGGAGATGTTATTGCTTTCTAAACTTCCCTGAAAGGATGTGTGGACAGGTATGTGTTGGTGTCTTCTCCCAGCTAACAAGTGACATGACAAGAGGAAATGGCCTCAAAATATCATTGGATATTGGGAAAAATTTCTTCACTGACATGTGGTCAGGCATTGGAATAGAGTTCCCACAAAGTGGTGGAGACACCATCCCCAGAAGTGTTCAGAAAACATATGGCTGTGGCACCTGGAACATGGTTTAATGGTGAAGGTGGTGGTGGTGCTGGGTTAGCAGTTGGACCTATTGATCTTACAGGGTTTTTTCAACCTTAATGATTCTATGATTCTGTTCTCTAACTGCATCAGAATCACCTGACATAAAGCTTAGTTGAGATTATTACCATAATTTATTTTAAACTAAGCATTTCGGTAGAAGCAATCATGTTTGTAGGACTTCCAGTAAAAATGAAGCCAGGTAAGAGATTCCCTATGCTAAAATAATGAGAAAGAAAAAACTTAAAGAAAAAAATTCATTGGCAACACCAAACAAATTGCACAGGACTTTATACACTGGCATTCTAAGAGTTGATCATTGCTCTTGGACAGAGAAGACATGGACACAAGCAGTTTTAAAGAACGGAGGTAGATTACATTGTTTGCTTGTCATAGCAAACAGTATCATAACTTAATCTAATTTTTGATACATGGACAGAGGATTGAAGAGTTTATGCAGTTTAGGATTTCTGACCTTTTCCTCTGTCAAAGATTTCAATACTGTGAAAAGTATTAAAAAAAGAATTAATTAAAAATAAAAGATGCCATATAAACCTGACAAAGTTACAAACACCATCATGGAACACAGTGGGGGGTTTTATCTTTAGTTTTGCACGGAAGATGAAGAAAGACAGTAGAGTTCATAAGAAACATGCTTATGTTTTTACTTTAAAATACAAAGTTATCAGAAATACAGAATTAGGGCACTTTAGGTACATTAAAAATTGTAGAACTGGTGATTGCTCTGTCTTGGTACTCACTATATCTAGAAATTATTTAAAATGTTTCTGTTCTTTCTAGGTCCCTTTCTGGGTCCCATACGCTCATTTTTTTTCTGCTTAAGCAGGAACCTTCAACGCCTGCCTTACTTCACTGTGATATTAATGATGCTGATATCCTCATAGGGCTTGTCAGTTTTTGGATTGACTTTTACATTTGAGATTCTCTGAACAACTTCCATTCCTTTAGTCACCCGTCCAAACACAGTGTGCTTGTTGTCTAGCCATGGCTGTTAGAGAGCAGAGGAGAAGAAAAAGCATGTTAATACAGAAAGCATCACATAGGTTAGGTACCAAAACAGAAAGAGAGTAAGTACACATGGATACATTTTGTATGTCTAGACTATGGAATCTAATACTATGTAAATACCAGCATGCAAGTAAATACTGGGGTGCAGTTAATACACACTCATATGCATTTGAACTTACCTTTTCAATTGTTTTCTCTAAGTACTACAGAGGTCACATTCTACCAGTGCAGTAGCATTGTGTATTTTATTTTAAAGTGTATTCTCAGTTCACAGATGTGCTGTTCCAGTCTCTCTATTTTCACAGAGGAATTTGAAGTGCCAGTCCAGAATACTACTAAATTCAAAGTAATTTTCATAGAATATGCCTAATTTGAATATAGGCACTGACAGAACTTAACAAACCTTAAAACTATGGCAGATATGTGCTATTTTTTTTAAAAAAAAGACACTGGATTTTGAGTAAGTGTTTAAGAATACATGTTACCTTTAAGAAATTGTCTTGTATCTCTTAGACTCACATACCAAAATTTCTTTTTTGGGCTCTGAAATTATACACAGATCAAAGGAAACCTTCAAACCTGAACAATGGCATCTTTGTATAGCTACACTTAGCTACACTTAAGGAGACATCCTGGCACTATATCCAAACCCTAAACAACCTACACAATACCTAGATTTCTATCAAGTTTAAATCACTGTTACTGGGATACATAATTGCAAACATGCCTAAGAATGTTTTGTCACCCTTACTCCAATTAAAGGCAAAAGGCCTCTTGTTCACAACTCACAGAAATACTTTTCTATTTCTTCAGGGACGGTTTCAGTGAACCCCACACAGTATACATCATGGTGTGCAGCATTTATTTGCAAAATATTAAGGAAAGATTATTTAGAGAGTACTAGTGCGATCCTTTTTGCATCAGAAAAACTGTATTTTTTACTATCAAGTTAGCCTCTCATGCCTTAGATTCAGCTTTTAATACTACTTACAGTTGGCACTACTGTTATAAAGAACTGGGATCCATTGGTATTTGGTCCTGCATTAGCCATGCTGAGTGTATATGGTCTGTCGTGTCGTAAAGTTGAATGAAATTCATCTTCAAATTCTCCTCCCCAAATACTTTCACCTCCCATCCCTGTACCAGTTGGGTCACCAGTCTGAATCATGAAACCCTGCACAGAAATCATGTGTTATTACATCATTGCATAGAATAAATAACTAAAAGTGTTTTATGCCAGGTGACGTTTTTTCAAACCTACTTCAAACCTGACAACAAAATGTGTTAAAATGCATTTAAGGCTCTTTTGAGTGATAATCAAGTCAACTTGTGAAAAAGCAACTTCTGTTTTCTCACTCACTGTTCCTCCTAGTAAAGGACAGAAACCTGACTGTACCTTCTGCAAACACTTTGGCTGTATTTGGTGCAGCAGAAATAAGAAGCCGTACAAGAAATGCCCTCTGACATGAAACAAAGTCTTAATTCAAGCAGGATAACTGAACTTATCTTTCAGTTTTCTGCCACCTTTTAGTTGCAGTACAACTATTAAACAACTTTAGTAAGTGATTAAGCTGTTTAGAACATCAGAGTTGTTCAGACTTCATAGGGAATTCTAAAGCCACTCCAAAAATCCTCTTTGCAAAAAAGGAATGAAAGGGTTAGCAAAGAGGACTGACCACTAGGGTACATTATCTAAATCAACAAAAAATTAACTTGCTACAAGTTACCTTGATGATACGGTGAATTATGTGTCCATTGTAATAGCCATTCCTGCTGTGCACACAGAAGTTTTCCACTGTTTTGGGGCACCTAAAATCATATAATAGAAAACAAAGGCTACAATAAATATTTGTCTGGTGACAAGGCCATAAGGATTTCAGTTGAGACTAAGATCCTGCTGTGCTGAACAGTGTTTCAGCTCAGTGTAGAAAGGGCTTTCATCAAATAGGGAAAAACAGATCCTCCACCTTCTCAAACCCAGAGCTGAAAGCAAAAAGTTGAGGAGTACAAAGCTGAATGATTACACAGGAAGGCAGCAGCAGTGCTGACAACACAAGGATGTTTAAGCTGCTGCTGAGCAGCACAGTGTCGAGGCCTTTTCTGCTCCTCACCCCACCCCACCAGCAAGGAGGCTGGAGCTGCAGAAGGAGTTGGAAGGGGACAGAGCTAAGACAGCTGACCCCCAACTGACCATAGGGACACTCCATTCCATACAGCATCATGTTCAGCATATCAAAACTGAGGGAAGAAGTGGGGGACACTTGGAGTGATGGCGTTTTGCCTTCTAAAGTAATATATGATTGTTTTCTGGGAAATGGTGGAACACCTGTCCATGGGTAGTGGTGAATTAATTCCTTGTTTTGCTTGCGTGCATGGCTTTTGCTTTCCCAACTAAACTGTCTCTACCTGAGCTCATAAGTTTTCTTATTCCTACTCTCCCCATTCCATCCCTACAAGAGGGATGCAAGCAAGGAGTTGTGGGGGGGTTAGTTGCTGGCTGGGGGTTAAACAATGACAGTCAGAAAATGAATTATCTCCTCAAGGCCTAGTTCAAGGAACAATTGACTAGAGGTTCCCCAGCTTTCTACTTAGACTAATAATTTTGTAAATAAACTGTGTATGCTCCTAAGCAGAAAGCTGTTCACTCTTTTACCTCTACACTTCTTTTAAGATACACATGCAAGGTGTCCAGTGTTGCATACAAGTAAAACTGTAAAAATAAAATGTTTTAATATTATACAACTTGCAGTCAGCACAGTCAGTTTTCCTTCTCTGAAACTACTTGTTAACATTGTTTCGTGAAGAGGTGGAATCTTACTGTTCATGGAAAAAAAGGGACAACCCCTTCAACCTCTGTGACTTGATTTTTTATTTCTGAGAGATGCTACCAGAGTGAAAATTCTTTGTGGTAGCTCTTTTGCTATTTTTTTGAAATGCATTAGTAGCCAAGGTAGATTTACACTGACAAGTTTACAGTCACCCATTTTCCCAATAATGAGAAAATGGCCGAGTCCATAGCTGTAGAGTTACTCTAGCTGTGACAAGGAACATTATCTTGGGTTTTAATGACACTCCAGACTATCTTATGAAAAACAGCACCAGTGATATAACTAAAGGAACAGACAAGATTATAGCCCCAGTTCTTGCTGAGCAGCACTTAGTCATTCACAACTTCATTTCACAACAAAATGGCCAAAGACTTTAATGGCATACAAACCTATATCCTATATGCTCTTCTTTAGTTTTAATCACATTAAAGAGATTTTAAATTCAAAGCTCAGCTGGGAGAAAATACTAGAAAACAGGAAAGGACAAACTTAACCATAAGCAACTCTGGTAATATCGTATGCCTTGTTTTGGATATACAGAGCACTAATATTTTATGCTGATATAAATGTTATACTGCTCTTAAAGGACCTGAAATAACATAAAATGTAGTACTCTGGCCACATTTTGAAGTTGCAACTACTATTCCTATGGCTTGCACAGACCTCCTGCCAAATGTTCTGCTGCTGCCAACATCACTGTATTTCCAGATGGAACCAAACAGCTCTGCCTTACACTAATACGTAGCTTACACAGAAGAGTATGGTTACCTCTCCACATCTGCAGTTGGGGGAACAAACAAAAGTTAAGAAAGGAACAGTCCCCCTGAACCAATAACTAAATAAAACAAAATGGAATTTAAAAAAGTCCTGTGCCCCACACTGTTATTTAGACCTATTTTAACCCTACTTTCTGTTCATTGAGAGTCACATTCCTAGCTTGATGTATTAAGAAACCGTCAAGAAACAAGGACAGTCAAAAACGGGAAAGAAAATAACTATTCCTAACTTGAAATATAAGTCTTGGATATTGCAACCCCAGGGACAGAAGGAACAAAAACAAGAGAAAAACTACCAAATACGTACTCAACAGGAAAAAGCTTGATATGAATATCTCCCATGCTTGTGTGGATGATGGCACTGTCTGAGACTCTTTTGGGACCTTCTGCCTGAGTGGCTGCCATGACCTCTTCTTTAGAAGGTTTCTCATTAAATACATCTCTATCAGAATCTGCACTCTTTGTATCTTCTGGTTCACGTTTAGTAAACTGAAGAACAAAAGAACAGAACGTTAACTGCTTGCTTATCTCTTTTTTCCCCCTTACCTTACACAATGCTCTGTGCCCAAGAAATCAGTGTCATTATTCAACCTGCTAAACATCCAATTCAATTTGAAATGTAGGAAGACAATTCATAGACGTGTTCTTGCATTTCACTGCTGTGCGTCACCAACATTTCCACAGTCACAAATTCCAGTACAACTACATGCAAATCCCAAGTAACTTTTTATAATCTATTATCTTTAGACCTCCTCCCCTTTTGAACAGGAACTCCTCAGTAGTTCAGCACTTTTTCTTTAAAAAGGAGCAGAGAATGTCAGGTTGTTCTGTTATACTCAGACAAATTTGTCAGGTTTCATGCCAAAACTTTTAGGTGCACTAAAGAAATCAAACTAAATCCTCTTATTCCAATACTACATTAACACGAAACTGGTAGACAACCAGCAAATCTAAGTCATAACAGACAGACCAATCTCTAACCTCTATGGCTACCACCTATCAAATCAACTACTACCTTCTCTGGACTTGCTTGTCTGTTTGGCTTATTGATTGCATCTCACATAAAAATCAAATTGTGAACAGGAAAATGACTCCTATCTTTCTTGGTTGCCTGCTATGTCTGTATTGCTACCGAGTCCTGATGCTGGTCTGAATTTTTTTTCTATTACATTTTTTATACATACAGTTAATTATTGTTTCTATATAAAATCTGGTTAGTTTTTTTAAATGTTCTTAATTATTTTTCAACTAGAACAAAAGGATATCATCTTCTTGGAGAATAAAAATTTGGATAGCCGAAACGACCCCCGTTTATTTAACTGCTTGAGCAATGTGAAAAAATTAAAGTTATTTCTAGCCAATGTATAAACAGTTCAAGCTAAAAATTCCAGAATTTACTTGCAGTATAAAAGAGCTCCTCTAGGAAAGTTTTTTTAGCAAATACTCAAGACAAAAAGCACTAGAAAGGTACAAGGAGAAAAACAAAAAATAATGTAGAGAAAACACCAATACAAGAATTTAAATAGAAACTGCACACACCATGTAAAACCTATTTTTTTTAAAAGCTGTGCAGACTACTGTTGGATCTGCCTGGATATTCTGGAGAACAGGATTTTCAGAAGCTTTCATCTCTATAGTGATTGCAGCACGATGTTTCTTTGCCACTCCTTGGAATAAAGCTAGTTGCATCATTCTGATGTTCTCTTGTTTTCCCAAGATACGAATGCACCTGAAGTACAAGATGTAAAGAGGTGTAACTACTGTCAGCTGCTCACAGTCACAGAATGTCTCCTTTCTGACTGCAGGACTCAGAGCAAAATTCCCAAATCCTCTCCAAGTAATTATTTATTAATTAAGATGTTTCTCTACTCAAACTTGCTACCTAATTTACCAGTCAGCCTCTATACATAATAAAATCCCAACTAAATGATCCACATTTACTTTACATTATCCCATCCAGTTAGCCAGAGATTAATAGGTTACACATTTTTAATACACATATACCTGCCATGTTTTGTCCTTATTTTACTAAGCTTTAATCTGCAACAACTCATTATAAAGCATGGGGCTATCTTCTCTACAGTCTAATGTAAGGCTCCCAAATAACAGCACAAAAAGTCTGGAGACCTCCACAGCCATATCAAGTTTTAAATATGCTATAGATGTGACTGAATACAGACTTTGAAACAGAAATGTTATCTCAATGTGTGTCATTGGAACTTACCTGTTAGTCTCTACATTGATGACCTTAATGCCCAACATTGTTCCATAGAGAACGAAGTGTCCAGTTTCATCAAAAATTATATTAATTAATCTTACTGCATCCACTTTCTCCAGCTCACGCTCGACTGCCATTCGTCGGCCAAACTCCATGTCTGGAAGTTGCTGTCTCATCTGCTGAAGTTCGGTAAACATCTACAGAAAAAAACTCCACATCACTATTATATTAACGTATTTTAAACTTTTTATACAGCAAAACACTAATCCACATGATTAGAAAATACCAAATTCAACTGAGACTACTCCACTCAAATGAAGAATTTAAACAAATACAAGTAATGCTTTCTTTATTTTCATGATGCAATAGGCATGTTATAGGACTAGGCTTAAGCAAAGAAAGGTGTGCAATATTATTTGAAATTCTCTGTAATTGCTTTCTAGTAAAATGTAATCTAGCAGTATGAAAACAGATGAAAATCAACACCTGTTTCACTATGTAAGTAACATAAATCTGTAAGAATTCATTTGGGACAAAGCAATACAGAGGGCAACGAAGAGAACATGGAAGGCCTTTTCTGCAAGAAAAATATAGGAAGGAAGTTCGCTTTTAGAAACAAATGATAACTTAGGTGAATGTGCTGGCAAAGAAATTCAAATAAGTACAGAAAATGTCTTAAAGAAAGAGAAACAAGACAAAACTCACACTCAGAGATTCGTCAAAGACTCTCATAAGCTTCCCCGTCAGAAAACGAAAAATTCTAACTTTTCTGTCAGACCCAAGAGTGGCCATTTTCTTGCCATCAGGTGAAAAACTTATACTGGATGGGTAAGCCTTGCATTTAGCAAATTCATATAGATCAGTATCTGTTTTATACTCCCAGTTCACATTCTTGGGGAATTTATATTCGTGAGGTGTACCAGTCCAGTACTCGATCATCCCAGACTTGTCAGAAGACACAACTACTTTGTAGACAGGGTTCAGCCGTATCTGAGTAAGCGAGGATGTATGGAGCTTATCAAAAATATGAAGTGGCTGGTTATTTCCTCGGCCATCATATATGAATATTTTTCCTGTGCTCTTCTCGGATGTTGCAACAGAAGATATGGCATCTCCAGGGCAATATACCCATTCACATTGGCCAGGGTGGTAGCTGCAACAGAGAGTGGAAGGAGAAAAAAGCAAATAAAGAAATAAGGAATGGTGTTAGATAAGAGTTGAGTTATGCTGTACACTTGAAATCAAATATTCTCTTCCATCTGTTAATGCTTCATTAGAAATGAAGACAACTGCACCTCTGCCATACACTTATAGGAAAGGTCAACTACATCTTGCCAAAAAACTAACTCCCACAACAAAAAACCCGAGTGATATAAACAAAATTAAGACAATCCCCCTATATTCAATAAGAGTTGTGAATGCATCTAAGAAGGAACTCATTTGCTACTTGCAAAAACACATTCTACAAATAAAATAAGACAGAAACATGTTCAATAATATAAGTTACGTCTGTTTTACAGTCTGTAAGCAAAGATTGAGAACCAGAACTCAAACTAAATGGCAGACCTCAAAGCAATGATATGGTCTCCATAGGAAACTCATATTTAGTATCCTTTCACAAATCAAATTAACAGACACTGAAGGACAGTATTATGATAGACAGTAATAATTTGGATTTTCAATGCCTGTCTGGTAGAGAAAAACATAACCAGGACTTCGTCTCAGGTTCACCAGAAAGAACAGGATCAAATAAATAAGTATGAAGTCTCTGCAGAAATAGCCAGCCTTGTCCAGATCACTGATGGAAGCATAAAGCATGGGGATTTTGAATACCAAGGTTGGAAAAAATCTATTTAAAGATAAATCAGGGAATCTACTACAGAAAAATGTTATCAGTAGCATTCTCGCAGGATTCCTGAAGCAAAACTGATTTAAATTCTACCTCATTTTTCCCTGAAGTCTCAAGCAACAACAAAAAAGGGCATCTTCTATTGTAACAGCTTTGTGGTTTTTTTTTTTTTGCTTATGTATAATTCTACTGATTTTGTAGAGACAGTACAGGGCTGCTATGTAGAAAATACCAGCAAAATCAAAAGACAAAGGCTAACTGGAATTTTTCCACAGCAGACAGCCAAGAGAGAATCAATTCCTATAGGCTAAGTACATTATCTGGAGGATGATATTAAAACTGTAACTAGCAAAGCAGATAGCACAAGCTTTTTCCCTGAGTTTATACTTCTATTCAGTTTCACAATTAACCAGTAAGTAGTAGAGTAGGAGGAATAAGTTTTTCAATGCTAAAAGACTTGTGAAAAAAACCAGTATTTCCACCATTCTTGATGCAGCACTCACTGATCCTCCAAACCTTCAAACCCACCCTTGTAACAGTGTAGGGCTTGTTTTTCTCTGGTATTGTTAATAATTGTAGTAACATACATTCTTATTTCTACCAGATCTTTTAGCTACAAAATATGCAATTACAAAAATGCTACAAAAGCAAGAGGAAAGAAAGCAACATAGTTTCTAGCAGAAGAAGGAAATTTGTATCCCTATGACAACAAATAAGACAATATATACAGGCCAAATCCCTTCTCTAATGGAACCATTAGTGGACTGTAATTTCTAAATTCAGTGCCAAACAACAGAAAAAATTATGCCTTGTTAAACATTTGGAGAAACACCACGTCTTTGTGCATAACATTTGAGACTGAGAAAATGCCTTTCCTACTCCTCTCTTGTAGTGTTCCAGACAGTCAAAATTTTTCTATTCAGTCAGGCAGCCTCCAGCCACTGGATTCATTTCAGACAGTGAAATTTACTCAGCTTCATCTGATTTAGGGAGGGGGTGAGGGGAGAAACATCAAAAACTCCAAATTATTGACCTACCTCTTAGCAAAATGATCCCCATTTATAATCCCAAACAAACACTTCCAAACTAAGTAACTTACCCAAGTTTCAGCATGTTGATCATGTCAAAGTTGACAACATCAAACACCTTCATTGCTTTGTCATCTCCAACTGAACAGAACAATGCTCCCTCTGAACTAACAGCAATACTCTCAATAACACCTGTTAATAAGGTTAACACACTATTAAGAAACAGGAAAGGACATCCTTCATTTCAATATTATATAGGAAAAAAACCTACTGAAGTTTAAGCCTCCCAACTGTTTTGCTACCTTTTTTACTTAAAAGACTACCTGAATTCAGTAAATTACTATTAAAAAAAATGCCAAAACACCACTGGGTATCCTATCAGTGTTTTGACTTAAGTATGTGACAATGAACTACTTACCACCTACATAAGGGAAAGATTTTAATGGCAATTACTTCAATTTAAAATGTTGATTTTATAAAATTGAGAACATTATGATGTGGTAAAAATCAGGTGCTCTTCAGCTTGTATTTCTCAATAGGGAAAACGCAGCAGAACTCTGTAGACTATTACCACACAATACTCAAAATTACTCTGCAATTGAACCTTCCATAAATTTCTCATAATGCTTATTTTTGCCTGGTAGGTTTTGTTTTCACAGTTTGCTTCTGTATATAATGAGAATCTGATAGTTAAGCTCAAGAACCTCCTTTAATATTTCTTGCAACTCTAAAAGTAAACTATTTTTACTACCTATTATTAAATATTTTTCTTACTGTAACAGTCAGCATATCAAACTGAGGGGTTTTTCCCTTCAGGCATATGATAATTTCTAACACCATGGAGAGTGTCATTTTCTGTTCAGTCTATTTAACACTCAGCATAGTTTTGAAGAACTCTGTGTACTTATTAGCTTAGAAAATTGGGTTAAAATTACTCTTAATTGCAATTCAGCCAATAATCATAACAATGATGTAGAATTTACTCTACAGTTACAATAACTCCAGATGAAAAAAATGCACTTTTTTCCTTACTACAAGGGACAAAAAAATACAAATTCATTTAAAGTAACATATTTTTAAACTCCTCTGGATTTTATGAACCCTGTTATGTACCTTGTTAAGTTATGTCCCAGATATTCTCTCCACAGGCAGGGCACAAGGCAATGCAAAGGATGTAGGGGATCTGTGCAAGCAGAGCCCTACATGTTTTATTCTCACCCTATCCCTCATGCAGTCTGGGAGCAAAACATTACAGGACAGAGGAATGAAGGAAGATAGGTAAATATCAATTAATTCCTGACTGCACTAAATGAACCCCAGAATCTGTCTCTCTATTTGCACTCCCTCTTTAAACAACAAAATCAATGGGGAGGAAAAAGTGAGGCCCTTTAAAGAAGAAAAAGCAACTTCTCACCCAGGTGACTTCGGAAGTGTTTAACAAACTCAATCCCTTCTTCTATTTTTTTCCAGAATTTTACATGTCCATCATGACTGGCTGTTATGATAAAATCTGTCCTACAATTACAAAAGAAAATTAAAAACAAGAAAAGAGATAACACATTATGCACTTTCCCACTGGTCAGTAATCTGCACCATAATTAACACTCTGTAGGGGATGAACTTTTAATTACTGTGACAATCTGTCTGAATGGGTACTATCACTCCTGGAAAAGCAAACAGGTATTTTAATGCATTCTGGATTAATATATGAAAAGTCAACACCCTGAAAAATTATAACACTATCCTTTCTGAATATGTAAATGTAACTCCTATTTTAGTTCACAGTAGTTACTATTTACGTGTGCGCGCGCGAGTGTGTGTGATCTCTGCAGTCTGCTGAATGGTGCTTTTTCAGAGGCAGTCAGTCAATCTTATTCCTGTATATCCTGCACATTTTGATAAGCATTTTAAGACCCTCTAGTTTATGTAAACATTTTTTTAATCTTCCTTCTAAGTAAACCTTTCCTTTGCACTTAGTTTTCAAAAAAAAAAAACCCAAAACTTTTAAAAGTTACAGGACACTGTTAACTTTCCATTACTAAACATTTAAAATGAAAACTTCTTATCATATATAAAAATACACCCCTGACAAAGAAATAGCCTGGAAAAAAGATACTTACTTAGTACATGCTACGTGTGTAATGACATCTCTGTGCATGTAACTGCGTTCATACATTGAAGCAGATGGTAGATTTTCAAGGTAAACATGTTCAAATTCAAGAACTACACAGAATAAAAAGAAAAATCAGGAAGGTTTTTCTTCATAAAGGTACAGCTTCTGTTCTCCCTTACTTGAACTGCTTATTCATATTTCAGTCTAAAACAAGCTAGGATTTTGTGCAAACATAATAAAAGGGCTTTTAGGTCTGGCTTTGCACTCAAATTTTTAGTGGACTAAAACCACTCAAACTCTGCTTGAACTCATACTGCTTTTCCCTTTTAAAGCAACTATTACCTCAGCTGTCTCAATATATGAAAAAAATAAAAATCAACAATGTACTTCCAGAAAATGGAAGGTTCTCTGCACCTTATTGTATTCCAAAACAAAATGTATCCCTGTTGTTAAGATTCATGACCTCACCCAGGTCTTGTAGTTTAAAGTCCAAGTACTGACACCTATCTCTTTCATTGTTTAACTGGCCCACCCAAAATAACCTGATTTTGGCATTTGTCTCTTGATTTTTACACCCTGTTAACACCTGCAAATAGCATTTGTTACTGAACCTGCATGTGCTGATCATCGTTAGAGGCACATTTACTTTACAATGACACCTGGAAAGCTGAGAGTTGCTGCACTCATCAATACCATAACTCAAAATACAGCCTAGAGGCATCTCCATTTTAGGGCGATGATCCAGAAAACAGATGAACGCCACAGCCCTAAACTGAAGCAAGGCTTCAGTCTGCACAGCAGGGGCTCTGAGCCTGATAGTGTCCACGAGAGAAAGCAGAAATCATAAATCATAGAATGTTAAGGGGTTGGAAGGGACCTTCAAGATCATCTTGTCCCAACCTCCCCCACCATAGGCAGGGATACCTCCCAATAGACCAGGTTGCTCAAGGCCTTTTCCAACCTGGACCTGAACACTGTCAAGGTTGGGGCATCCACAACCTTCCTGGACAACCTGTTCCAGTATCTCACTACCCTCAGAACGAAGAATTTCTTCCTAATATCTAACCTAAACTTTCCCCTTTTCAATTTGAACCCATTACTCCCTGTCCTGTCACTACAGTTCCTGACGAAGAGTCCCTCTCGGTTTTCCCTGTAGCCCCGTTCAGACACTGAAAGGTTGCTGAGTTCTCCGCGGAACTTCCTCATCTCCAGGCTGAACAGCCCCAATTTTCTCAGCCCCTAATGCCCCTGGGCTGTTACTCGGCACCCGAAGGGTTCCCATACAGCGTGGCCATTTTGCACGGCAGACACCGCTACAGACCACACGGGCCCAGCCGCCCTCCCCCGGGGCCGCTCCCGCCGCTCCGAACGCGGCCCGGGGCAGCGCTCCCCAACGCAGAGTCCGGCCGGTGGACGTTCCGCTCCTCCGTTACCTCTCCTTTTCTTCGCCTGCGCGGCCTCCCCTGGGAGCGGCCCGACCCAGCGCTCCTCCTCCTCCTCCTCCTCCTCCTCGTACTCCGCCGGTTCCGCGGCTCCCCCGCTCCTCGCCCGCCGCCGCCTCCCGGAGCCTTTCGCTTGCGCTCGGCTCGGCGCCGCCATCATGGTACGTCACCGGCCGCGCGCCGGGCGCGCCGCCAGTGACTCAGTGGCTGAGGAACGGCGCGCGCGGAGACGCCATGGTAGTAACGGTTGGGAACGGGCGGCGGGGATTCCCGGCGGGATCCCGGGATAACGAGGGGGTCCTGCCGCTCAGGCACCGCGGGGCCGGGATGAGATCGCGGCCGCTGGGGCGTGGGGCGGCCGTGGAGGGGGCGCGCTGGCTTTTCCCGCCTGAGAAGGGGCGGTGTTCGCCCTTCGCCCGTGAGGGGAGACCGACCACCCTGTGCCTCCCCGGCGCTCGGGTGGTGCGGGGGCTCCCTGCCTCCCTTCTGCTTTTTTTTGTCATCGCTTTGGCGGTGTTATTTCTGTCCTTTATATGTTCTCCTTCCTAAAGCGAATTGCTGTCTTCCTGCCTTTGTCCAGCGGCCGCAGTTACTTTCCTCTCTGCTTCCTGAGTATCTTCCCGTAGTTGATCGCGTTGTGTTTGGGCATATGACTCATTTCGGCTCATCAGTGTCTATAAGTATCTGAAGAGAGGGTGCCAGGGGGATGGATCCGGGCTCTTTTCGGGAGTACCAAAATGAATATGAGGAACAACTGTGGGTGACCGAGCACTGGAACAGGTTGACCATAGAGGCTGTGGAGTCTCCCTCATTGGAGATAATGAGAAACCGTCTGGACGCAATCCTGTGCAACGTGTTCTACGATGACCCCGCTGGAACAGGGAGTTGGGACCAGATGACCCTCTGTGGTCCCTCCTAGTCTGACGGATTATGTGATTCTGTCGCTTTCCTAAAGCTTGCCTGTTTGCTTGGCTGGCATAGAGTCTACAATGCACACTTTTTGTCCCTGCATGTAGTTTTTACCTAATTATGTAGTCCTAAAACAAGGTCAGAAGGAATAACGTATTGAAATTGGAATGCATTAATAGTCATGACATGCCAAAAAAGCCTTCAGTTTTCAGGTATGGTGTAAAAATAGAAACCTAATTTAACCATACAGAAATAGGGAAAACTGCAAGCTACAAGGAAAAACCATCTGAATATGATACTCCAGTATATGCACTATGTGAGGTAATTAAGAGCACAGCATTAAGGATCACAAGTCAGTTTGGCTTGCCTCTCATATCTCACAATGTGTACATTCTGAAACGTTGTGTGAAATACGTCTAGAAATTTAAAGCCAAGAATAACAGAATCATTTGATCATTTTTGTATAGTGTTTTTTTTTCCTGGCTGTGTATTCAGAGTTTTATTTCATATAATACTTGTATGGTGATTAATTGTATTATTGCAGGGGACAGCAGGGGGAATATGGATTTTTTATTCCACCCCAAGATCCTTTTCAAACTTTCAAAATGTTGGGTACTTTTTCTTCCTCTCCTTTTTTCTTTTCTTTTTTTTCCCCCACTCAAACCCCCTTTGGTTGTCTCCTTGACAGTTTTTTATGTCTCAGAAAAAAGTACATTGCATCTCAAGGCTGTTTCGTTTATTTCTTAGTTTCTTCTAGGCAGTCTTTGCTTGAGGCATTTCAGAAGTCGTAATAAATTATGTGAACTACTTCTCTTTTATATGATGGAAACATTCCAAGGCTCTTAAGAAGATAATGATTTTCCTTTGCTAAAACTATGCTCTTTAGACTTTATCAGATCATGGCAAGCTAGGTATTCTAGGGTTCTGTTTTTAATTATTGGTGTAATAAATTAGCCTGGAAGATTAGTAGAAGTATTGCTACCTTTCAGTACTCTAGAATAGTTCCAGCATTCAGTGAGATGTTCTGATTTTTTTTTTTCTCATCCTTGACCTTTGGGAGTACTAGCTGAATATTTGACTCCTTTTAATTTACTTGGGATTTTGACATCATTTTCTCTGATTCTGTGTTTTTATTCTGAAAATGAACAAAAAGTTGAGTTAGGAATTTGTGCATTATTAAGAGATGTATATTAGATCTTTTTTTTATATCTCTTTAATCTGTGTGGTTTTGGTGGACTTAGTGATCCACTTAGTATTTTTAAAGGCTTTCTGCATCTGGTACATCTAGGAAGTTCCTATTGGTTGTTTTACCTTGGGGAGAAAAGTTTCCTTTGAGTGCCATTTTGGCCCTTCTTGTTAAGATGTTTCCCACCTTAGCTGCTGTTGTCATTTGGGTATCTCTTAATAGATTTAACTGGGAGTAAATTTCTGAATTTGTGTGTGTTTCTCTCTGACCCAATATTTCTCAAAGTTTTTATTTTAACTTGGATTAATTTTTCTCTTGGATGTCTTGGTGCCCTCTTTCCTTGGTTGCCTGTATGTTTTTCAGACTCTTTTGTTTGTTTTTCTAGTAATTTTGAGGATGCTTTAATTTGTTAATCAAAAATATTCTGAATTGTAGTGAAGGAGAAATAGATTAGGACATTTATTGGAAGACAGAGCAGAAGTAACTGCTTAAGAATTTTGCAGATATACGGAGGAAAAGCATAGCTTTGTAGATGTGAGATTCTCTTATTGTTTCTGTATTAAAGTTGTTGAAAAGAAAAGCCATTGCAGGCAATCAAAGCAGATTTGAAAATTTAGGATTTTGTGATTCAATTTTAAAAGTAAATTATTCGTGTCTTCTGATTTTACTATAGTCATATAGTTAGCTGATTTTACTTAATAATTGGGCGCTATCTGGAACTGCAGGGGCGTTAATTGAAAGCTTTGCATTCTGTTGCATATTTGACCTGAAGTGGCAGGTATGATTCTGTACCTGGTAACAATTATTGTAGATATACACGATAACTGTTCTGTTTGCTTGTTATTAGGCTGAACTCATCAATGCAGAACCCACCAAGGCAGAACCCACCAGTGAACTTTGTCCTGTAGATGCCAAGAAAGAACTCTTGATGGAATGTAACAATATTTGGGAGGAATTGGAAGAGGTATGGGAACCATAAGTGATAGACTAGATTTGTTGTAAACTTTTGTCAGAATTGTTTTATTCACTGCCTGCTTACCCCATCTCTTCCAAAGAAACCACCACAACAAAACAAAAAGAATAAAAAGGCCAAAGGTGGATGTACTGGCAGGGGTGAGGGATGCCTTGCATTCAAAGGTTGTTTACAATGTGCTGATTTAGTTAGCGTGGAGTATGTATTAAATTAGGGAAAATTAAACTATTTACTTATGGTAGTACCAGCACACTGAGACTTGAGATCCCTCTCTCTTTAGCCTCACACAAGATGGAATTCCAGTGCTGTTCACAAGTAGTTTGGAGCTTAAAGGAGAGAATAGGAGGAGAGGCATAAAAGGACAAAGATGTTTGCAAATGCTTATCCAAAGTGATGGTTATATCATCATGGTTAAAATTTATCTCTCTCTGATATATGGTACAATATGCTAATAATAACATTTTAGGGCAGATTAGTTTTATTTAAGGAATCCCAGGAAAGATAAATTTCTGTCAGTTCTGAGGGAATGCTGTGCATTCTATAAGATTTTGCCAAGTCTCATGAAAGGTCATCTTCTAAATTATATTTTCAGTCTTAATTGCTAGGCTCAATTTTAAATGCTATCTGCTTGAGTTCTGAGTTGTAGGTTCAAAGCAGTAAAATTTCAAAAATGGAAGTAAAGGTATTTCTGAACTTAAAGTAGAACAATGTACAGACAACTCACAGTGCAATAATTTTACGTAATTAGATTTAAAGATACTAATGTGGCAGGGAATTCTCTGTCTGGGTTTCTGAAGTTGTGTTTGGAGGACCTGAACTTTTCTTTGAAATTTTCAAATTAGAAGGGAAGTTAGAATGCTTACTATTTTGAATTTAATTGAAAGTCTTAGATATCTTGTATCCCATTCCCATCATCCCCAAAATAATACAGGAAGTAATAATGTCTGTTATTTTTGGAAGTTGATAAAAATAGTAGGATTTTCATTACTTTGATTTTTCATTCTGAATGTGCATGTTTCAGAAAGAAGTTTAAACAACTAATAGTCATTGAGTGGGATCCTGGGTATATGGTTACAATGTAATGTTCAAATGGTTGTGTGACATCATTAGCAGTTTTTGTAGGAGAAATCTTGTGTTGTGTTTTGGTTTCCAGACATTAACAACAAGGTTTCCAAAGTACTGCTTACTGTTGAGTAGAGTACATCTTACCCTGTCATGGGATAGGTTGAATTGCTGACAGCTATGAAACAAGAAAGCGTTCAGCAGATGTCTCCTGTTGAAGCCTTGGATATCTGTGGTGGCCTGAATTTCAGACTGCATATACTTCCCATTGCAATCATGGGAGCTGATGTAGTGCACTTCTGAAAGTCAGACCACTTCTGAAGGGTGTAGTATACTGCCCTAAATGACTTTAACCTAAAAATGTGTATTAAAATGGGATTAATCTCTTTGGAGAGCCAGAGGAGTAGCAGAAAGTGTGTTAACTTCTCAGCAGCTTCCCTGTTCAGCCTTGTGCATGACTCTATTCCCAGTTTCTCGTGTTCTTCACATGATCAGTGCCTTTCCCGATATGAACTTTTCCCTCATAATTTGCCTTCTTACTCAAATGATACATCTTTTTTTAGCTGCTACTTTTCTGCTCTCCAGTTAATTAAGTTCTGCTTTACTGTGGTGCGATTTCAAAATATTTCTTAATTTGCTGTTCTGGGTAAGGATCTAAGGGATGTGGTGGGATCCAAGTCACAACTCTTTTATTCCTATATTTAAAAAGTTATGTTCAACTTTCTAAGCATTGTGTTCTGTTGTTACAAAAGGGAAGAGTAAACAAACGTTGCTTGTGTTTTGTTTCTTTTCTACCCAGTGTCAAAGCAAGCTAATGCTTCTAGGAATAGAAACACTGCTACAATCAGATACCAAGGTAAGACAGTTGTTTGGGGTTTTTTATTTTCCACTGAATACTTTGTTTTATATAAAGACCTTAGAATCATAGAGTGGCTTACCTTGGAAGGGACCTTAAAGATCATCTATTTTCAGCACCCCTGGCATAGGCAGGGATACTTTCACTAGATCAGGTTGCTCAAAGCCCTGGTCTGGAACCCTTCTAGGATGAGGCATCCGCACTTTCTCTGGGCAACCTGCTCCAGTGTCTCTGCACTCTGACAGTAAAAAATTTCTTCCTAATATCTAATCTAAACCTGTCCTCTCTCGGCTTAAGGCCATTGCCCCTTGCCCTGTCACTACAGTGCTCATGTAAGTAGTCCCTCTCCAGCTTTCTTTTAGGCCTGCAAATACCATTCAGGTAGCGCAAGGCTGCCCTAAGGTCTTTCTGGAGCCTTCTCCAGGCTGAACAACATCAACTCTCCTAGCCTCTCTTCGGAGGAGGAGAGGTGTTGCAGCACTTCAGGTGGGGTCTCACCAGAGTGGAGTAGAGGGGCAGAATCCCCTGCCTCAACCTGCTGGCCACACTGCTTTTGGTGCAGCCCAGGACATGGTTGTCTTTCTGGGTTGCAAGAGCACATTGCTGGGTCATATCCAGCTTTCCATCCACCAGGATCCCCAGGTCTTTCTTGACAGGGCTACTTGCAATCCATTCATTGCCCAGCCTGTATTGATACCAGGGCTTGCCCTGACCCCAGGTACAGGACCTTGCGTGTGGTCTTGTTGAACTTCATGTTTTGCACAGGCCCAGCCATCCAGGTCCCTCTGGATGGCATCCCTTCCCTCCAGCATGTTGGCTGCATCACAGAGCTTGGTGTCAGCAAACTTGCTGAGGCAGCACTCGATCCCACTGTCCACATTGCCAACAAAGATGTTACACAGTGCTGGTCTCTAAAACAACCCCTGAGGATTGCCATTCATCACTGGTCTTTGCCTGGACATTGAACTGTTGACTGCCCCTCTGACAGTAACCATCCAGCCAGTTCTTACCCACTGAGTGACCTGTCTGTCAAATCTGCGTCTGTCCAGTTGAGTGACAAGGATGTCGTGCAGGACAGCGTCAAATGCCTTGCACAAATCCAGGTAGATTACATCAGTAGCTCTGCCCTTATCCACCAATGCTGTAATCCTGTTATAGGAGGCCACCAAATTTGTCAGGCACAATTTGCCCTTAGTGAAGTCACATTGCCTAACACCAATCACCTTCTCATCTTCCTCGTGCTTCAGCATATTTTACAGGAGGATCTGCTCCATGATCTTGCTCAGCACAGAGGTGAGACTGACAAATCTGTAGTTCCCTGGATCTTTCTTTTTCTGTTTCTAAAAATAAGGGTTGTGTGTACACTTTTACATTCAGAAACCTCAGCAGACTGCTGTGACTTTTCAAATATGATGGATGGTGGCTTTGCCACTTCATTTGCCAGTTCCCTTAGGACTCTCAGTGCATCTGTGGTGGGTTTGACCCTGTCTTGCCACCAGGTGCCCACTAAAGCTGCTTATCCCTCCTCACTTGGACATTGGAAAGGAAATATAACTGAAGCCTCATGGGTCAAGATAAGGACAGATTTACTAACTTTGAAGCACACAACTGATGAATGATTAACATAGGCAGCAAAATGGAGAGGTGTGTAACTTCAATACCTATTTGGACTATTTCCTAATTAGTGCCTATGTAATTTCTTCTTGAAAAGTGTCATTCTGATACTGTCCATCATAGTATCCTTCTGGACATGTTGTCCAACTATGGGATGAGCAAGTTCAGCCATGAAGGAGAAGTCAGGATGTGAAGTATTTGTCATTGCTTCTAGTAGCTCCTCTTTAGTTGTAGTCATTGCAAAGAAAATTAGGGGAAAAATGCCAACTCTGACTCCTCATTTCCCCATTTTGAAAAAATAATATAAATGTTTTTGATCTCTGCAAGTGATTTTAAAATATTTTGAAGGAATAAGTTTTCTGTTGTCGTAGTTGCTCTTCTGTTTTCTACTGTATGAACTTATTAATTTAACTTCTATCCTGTTCTACGTCATTTTACACCAGTGCAATTTAACACTTTAAGAGATGCTTCTTTTGTTGTTACACAGCTTGCCTTGTTAATGCTGCAATGGAAAGCTTTAACAGTAGATTATCAAGAGTGCCATGAGAGAAGTCCTGAAAGTAAGTAACTGTTTCCCTGTAAAGGATGCTGATTGTGTTTTCGTACTACTTAAAAATTAAATATTTCACACAGTAGCGTGTATGTTTCATTTCTTTATTCTTTTTGCACTTCAGCTCTAAGTTGACTTAAAAGTGATTTCCTCTATAACCTAATCTTATGATTCTGCACAAATAGATGCATGATTTATGCCACCATTCATCAGTCAGTTAAGTGGAAACATAACTGTTAGCAAATCTAACAAAATAACGAAAGTCCATTATGCTGTTACCCTCCTTCATGTTATTCTCTGTGTGATTGTTTCTTTTCCATCTTTCATTTGTGTTTCCTTTTTAGAACAGAACTACTTTGTCAAATAATATTGTCTTCATCTTGTCTTTTAAGAATCTATTACATTTTTTTAATCTTTGCAAGTATTGCTAATAAGCTAACAATAATTTTCCCAGGTATAGTTTTAACCATACCTCCTCTGATTATTTTTTTACTAATACTTCACAAAAGTATGTTGTATTATGATGTATTAGTTCAAACTTTGGAGTAGACCTTTAGTGTTAAGCCCATTACACCATAATAAAATACCTGTCTTGGATTTAACAGGGATTGGAGATTTCAGCTCAAGATAAGATGGTAAAAGACACTAGAGTTTTATTTTAACAAAACAGAAATCCAGGACACTTACTGATCCTGCGAAGCACAAACCACAAGTGATTTTTTTAAATTTGTTAAGCATTATCAGTTAAAAGGTATAAATTCTCAGTTCTTCAAAGTTTTCTTTTTACATAAGCATCAGTGCTGACTGATTTCACTCTCTCACAAGGCTGATGTGGTCAGAGACTGGAAATAAAACCATTCAAAACTGAAGTGCAAGTAAAGTAATCTGTGTTTTCAGATGTCCCATTTGGAGACTCTTAAAACAGTTCACACTACACTGTCATTAGTATACTGGTAGCACTCACTGTTACATCTCCTGTCAAGGACCTGTTAGCACCTGTCAACCCAGTAAAACTTACCAGTTAGTCTTTAAATTAATACATTGGCTCATTTGAATATTTTTAAGCCAGAAGAGGCTTGGTTTTTTAGTGTTTACAAAAGGAATGTGTTTTAGACAGCCCATGGTGAATTCCAGTGTTTTGTCATTTGGCCAAATGGAAATGCCTTTTCAGATCAACATTAGAGGCAGTTCTCCAGTCCATGTACTTGCTGCATATCATGAGAGAAACTGGGAAAAAATAGTTTTTCTTTCTTATAAAAAGATATTTTTGCCCTATTAGAATAAATTAGTAGTTCAGCTTTGTAAGCCTGTCTCCAAGAATTGTCAGCCTCAAATACTTCTGAGAGGTATGTAGACCAAAAGTGTATGGGGTTGAATGAATTTAGGATGTACTGGTTCCCTGCTGCTATTCATGAATAAGATGCTGGCTTAAAGCAGATTAATTGAAAGCACTTAGTTTTTATCTGGGTGAAATACCTGGGATTGTTAAATTTCCTTACTAAAATACGTATATTAAACTTTAAGCTATTGGCTTAAAAATATCCTTAGGGCTTGACCTATTTTTTTGGCTTGCTGGCTTGCTTTGTTGAACTATTCTTACTTGTTCCCAGACTATAATATTTATTATTAATTTTTTAATAGAGAAATTATCTATGCATATTGTAATGCAAATAATATTTTGCAGCCACAGCTTTGCCTCTTTGGCTACCTTTCCAAGGGAACTAAAAAGAAATTGGTGCTAAGAATTTGAATATATATAGTTATAATGCTTGTATGAAGATGAGTCTACTTTGCTTAGTTGTCTGTCCATCTTGGCTTTTTTCTATCTACTGTTTGTCTTGAATTACTTAATTGAAAGCATAATCTGAAATTATCTAAATGAAAATAGCAGAAATACTGATTTCATACAATTTACTAATAGAGCATGAATGTCAGGCTGTCTTGTTACTTTGGTTTCTGCTTTAAATAGTGGCCAGTTAATTTCCTGTAAATGAGGGCCTGTCAGCATTTCAATTTTAAACCTTATTTTCAGAGGTTATAACTTGGCAGTTCTACATTTTCTTGAGCACAATATTGGCAAACAGACTTGAGTTCACAATGCAAATTTTATTTTTGCGAAGCTTATACTTTAGTCTCTTGTTCTTTCTCCATTTCTGCTGCTATTTATGTAGCTCTAGATCTGCTAAATCAGCTGAATTTAAACTTTTTAAAAAGCATTTGGCTTATAAAAATAGAATTTAACTTTCACCTTTGCAAACTAAGGAAATGAAAGCAGTTCTGTTTTCAACCGTATAAAACAGTCATGGTCTCTGCATAATTTCTATTTTTCTTTGCAAAATAACAGTATTCTGCCAAATGCCTTTTTGTTTTGTTTTAATAGGAGTTTCTGTAAACATGTGCATGGTAGTGGCTTTTACTTTCCTAGCATCTGGTAGTATTTTGCTTAGTAATCACTAGACAGTTCTGTCTGACATTTGATTTTTGCAAGTGTAGTGATTCTACAACTGAAAAAGCTTTAACTGTTAGTAGATAAAACAACCAGTGACTTTACAACACAGCTGTAAATGCGTTGCCCCAGTGTCTCAGATCTACATTGTTCCTGCACTAAATTACAGTTAGTGGTTCTTTCCCAGGAAGATGTGGCCTTCTATTCTCATACTCACTCAATATGAATTGAACAGGAAGCACAAACTCAGGATTAGGTATCTAAAAATTAGGAAGTGTTAGAAGCCAGTAGTAGAGATTGATAATAATTGATAAGTGAGGGCTTATAATAATCATGTCAGCAGGAAGTTGCAGGAGGAAGAGTTGTATGGGTTTCTTCAAATACACCAGTTAATGGGAATAAAACTTTACCAATGAGTTTTATCATGGGTTGTAGGATATTCATGTAATTAAAGAAGTATTGTTCTAATAATAGCACAGACCACTACCTCCTGCAGCTCTTAAACTTAATTTGGCAGCGTACTAGTCAAATTTTGTGTCAATATTTAGAAACACTAATTACCTAAGTAAAAGGGATTTTACTGGGACATGTAATTTTGTGTATTTTTCTGATTTTCATCTCAGAACAAACACTGCTTTTAAAACTACTCATCTAAGGCTTCTCAAAATTTGTTGAGGTAAAAACTGTAACATGACAAAAAAAGTACTTTTCTAAATTTATGAAATCAAGAGTATGTATTTAGGAGATGTTTAGTGCTTTCAGGAAAGGGGTAAGGGTTTTCCTTTTTGTTAAAGGAAAAGCTTTTATATAAATAATTATTTTTAAGATTAAGAGATTTGAAGCCCAAACTTTCACCAAAAAATCCCTGTCATATTAAGATTCAAATCTGTTAGAGTAGCTTTCATGTCTCCTGTTAGTATGTTCAAATAGTTCACTTTAAAAAAAGTCATACTTGTATACAGATGGTCTAAGTTGACATGGAAGTGAGAATTGACTGGAGTGCACTGAAGGCTGTAAAATACAACAGTTCACTTTTTATTCTGAAAATCCATGATCCATAAATCACTGCATTTTGCAGAAGCATTCTGGGGAAACATTTCCATATTCTTAAATTGTACCATGCTTTCCCTTAAGTACTGTTGTTGCTCAGTGTTAGATTTAGAATATTGTTATTGCTAGGCCTTTCATCTCCCTACATGTAGCTGTTCTTGTGAACAGAAGGGATGGGGACATACTTTATAAGTTCTTAAAAATGGTAGGGTTTATAGTCCTGGTGAAGCATTTGGAGGCTGTTTAACATGGAATTGGAAGACTGGTGAAGTCTGATTGCCCACATTGGTAATGTTGATGGAATGCCTTCTGCTGAAAAAAATCAGGCTTGGTTATCTTGAAGTATACTGAAATGTGATATACAGTCATTATGTACCTATGCCTATACTACCTGGGGCTAGTTCAGAGGCATTATAACTGCACTGTATAACAGAGGCATTAACACTGGACTTTTTTCAGTCTAGTTTAAACTGCTGAATCATGATAGTAGGTTAGTTCAGCAGGACACCACAAAAAAAGGTTAAATTGGTGCTGACAGCCAAACTGGTTTTTTAGAGGCTACACAAGTTTCTCTCTAGCTGGGCTGCTTTTCAGTATAAATAAGTCTTTATCATTCAGTGAAAAAAATCCACCAATTCATTTTGTTTTTCAGCAATTTCTACCAATCCAGATGTATTGTTAGAATTAGGAAAAGAAGAGGTAAGTCTTTTTGTTTGTTAAGAGATAATAAACTTTTGCTGGGGAAAAAAAAGAAAAACCTATATAAAATTGCTGCATTTTCCTATGACTGTTCTTGGGATGGACTACTGCTAGGATACTGTGTATTTTCCTTCAGGCATTGTTGTTGTTCTAATTGTTTATTTCCCCTGTATTGTAACTACTAAAATTTTCTAGTTGTAATGAATGAGCTTTTAAACTGACTTACTGCACAAGTCAGTGAGTAAGTAACACACAATAAACGGTATTTTGCCCCTGTCCAACCATCCAAATCCACCACTAAACCCTGTCCCTAAGTGCCTCACAGGATTGTGTCCAGGTGGCTTTTGAATATCTGCAGACAAGGAGACTCCACAGCCTTTCTAGGCAACCTGTTACAGTGCTCACCCTCCATTAAAGTAATTTTTCCTCATTTTCAGATGGAACTTCCTGTGTTCCAAGTTTGTGCTTGTTGCCCCTTGTCTTATCATTGGGCACCACTCAAAAGAGCCTCACCCCATCCTCTGACACCTGCCCTTAAGATAGGTTTCCTTACTTATGCCTTCCTGAGTAAGAAATCCATACCTGAGGCTTGACCTCAGGTTTCCCACAAAAGTCTCAGACATCCAGAACCTTAACATAATTTAATAATGGTGCAATAATAACAAAATAACAGCTCAAAGGTTGCCTCTGAGGAGGGACCCAAAACTTTTATACCTTTTATACCTTTATACCCTGAGCTTTTACACCTTTTTGGTCTAAACCCTGGAAAGTCAGGGAGTCATTGGCTCCTGGGGAGACTCAGTGTCCAGGTCTCCTGGCAGGCCCACAGGTCCCGGGGGCCCTTTGTTATGCAAGGGGTCAGCAGTTCATGGCATGTTGGCTCAGGCTTTGACTCCAGCCCACCAGGCTGCTCAACCAGCAGCTCACACTGCAGCTGTACACCTGCACTGAATGTATTCCTGAACATGTATTCCTTACCTATTCTGTAATGAATGACCCAGCCCAGTGAGAGTCCACTGTTCCCTAGATTCAGCAGTGCCTATAGCTTCTGGCTGCAGTAGTTTTATTTCTCCTTCTTTCCTCTCCCAGATATGTCCATAGCATCAAGGACCATTTAAATCATGGAAGCCATTAGTCTCTTTTGCAGCATCTTTGTTTTCTATAGTTTTTATGTTAGTGCAGTTAGCATGGATTCATTCTTGCAAGCAGTTGCAGTGATTCAGACAATACAGCCCTGGTGCTGTAGACATTTTCTCCTCAGTCATTCATCATCTGAGCAGTTCATGTGTGTGCTCCATAATCTGCTTCAGGTAAAATTAACTATGTTGTTTTGCAAAGTTTCAATAAAACACTAATGAGCAACTGGTGACAGTAATGTTTTAAAGAGCCTCCTGCATTTTAAACTGGATTCTAAAATAGTGTGTCACACTATAGCCTTATTTCTTAAGAATTTGCAGATCATTTTGGCCTTCTGTATCAGATTTAGAGATGCAGCCTTACATAGAATGAATACTACAGACTGGGCTACCTGCAAACTGTAGTTTCATTTTTACTTTTTTTTTAGTTGCAGAAAGTAAAGAATGATCTTGAAAAGGTGCTATCAGCAGTTTGTTCAAAGAATAAACAACTAGAAGAAGATCTGGAAAGGTAATATAATAATTTGGAATTTAGAATACTGTTAAGCTTTTTTTTTTTTTTGACCACCCAGAAGAACTATTTTTGTGCCATTTACTGTTTTTCATGTTTCAAAGAGAACAGCAGTGGTATGAGGGACAGGAAGAGATGCTAAATACTCTTAACAGAATTGAAGAAGAGACAAAATCCCAAGTTGAACAACTTTACGAAACAAGGTATTTCTACACTGTTCAGTTTTTATATTGAAGAATTCAAATAGGATGCTCAACAAGAGCAAATGAACAAACAAACTCATAAAACATACTCTTTGTTTTGCTAAATAGTTCAAATAATTGCTCAGTAATCCAGATTTGAAACATGGAAAATATCACTACTATGTTCTGTCATTCAAGATGTTGCATTTATAAGAACTGAATATGAGGGTTTTTTTTACTTATGAGGAACTTTTAAATTATTTTATTTGATTTCATACTGTATTGCTATGTTTTTACTATTTGGAAATTAGAGGATTGGAGGAACTGCACAATAAAATGTTGCAATTAAAGACATATAAGAAAGAACTCTTGAGTGCACTGGGTGAATTCCTGGATGAACATTTTCCCCTTCCACAGGATAGTGGAAGTGCCATAAAAAGGGTAAGATTTTTCTATGACTATTAAATTTAAAATGTTCAATTTCTATTTAATTAGATGCAGTATCTGTTTAAAGTCACTAGCATAGAATCTACAGTTATATTTTGAAATAAGTATAGTTCTTGTGGATGATCCTTTAGGTTTAATTTATATATTTCAGGTTCATTTATATTATTTAAGGGTGTTTCTAGCTGGATATTTTCTTTTCTAAATGCATAATACTGTATTGTATTTCCTACTGAACTGCAAGCTGTGCCAAATTTGAAAATGGTGGGAGGTTTAATCCAAATTGACCCATTTTCTTTTTTACTCAGCTAGGCAAGTGGATTCCTGTTTTCCTTGGCAAAGTAAATTTTAATTGTCTAACAGTGGTTTTAGAACAATAAGGACAAGTGTTTATAATTACAGAGTAGTTTAGAATGTTAACCATCAGATTTTGTTCAGGCAAATTGGGCCAAAAATTATCTCAAAACTTTAGGGAAAATAGGCAGCCAGGGAGTATTTTGCATAATAAATTCAAAGTCTGCAGTAAAAATAGAACTATTACTCTAGTATTTGATAGATACAAAAAAGCTGAAAAGTAAAGGGAGGGGCTTGATTTTTATTTCAGACATACTTAAGATGACAGAAACAGAAAGGATTCTTTCATCCAGTTCCCTGTTATTTCAGACAACCACAAAATATAATTCCTTTAATATTATCATTGAGCTCCATTTTAAAACAGATAATTTTTATTACTACTGCTTCTACTGGGGGTTTTTTAGCACCTCAGTACTCTGGTTAGAAACTCTCATAGCTTCCACAGATCCATGTATTCTTACACCAGTATTTTTCTTAGAATAGTCTTTTTTTTTTCCTTGTCTTTATTCCTCCTGATGCATTTTTCGACAGCAATCTTATACCTTTTCTTTCTTTGTTTTGCTGTTTGAACTAGCAACACTTTTATGTTCTCACATAAGACTATTTTTCAATTCCCTGGCTTATCCTAATAATACCCATTTTCTATATTTGTTTTCACTTGGATTGATCTTTTTGGAACCTGGTAAAAAACAATATTATAAATAAAACTACTAGCTCACATCTATCACCAAAGCAACTAATTACACCCTTGTCTCTTTCTATCTGTTATTTGCAACTGAGGAAGCTTTTAGTTAAAAAAAATCTTGATTTTGCACATAGGTATTTTGTATCTTTTGCATATAAAAATACTAAGTGGAGATTTCAAGACACGATGATCTTTTTCAATGTATTATTCAAACATCTTATTTTGTTTAATCTTAGTTTTTCTGCATACCAATGCCTTCGTTTCCCACTATTAGTAAATATGACACATTTTGCTCTCAGTCTCTCCAGTTTGGAGACAAGGATGTCATGCTTTGGATGCAAGGATGTCAAATGCTTTGCACAAGTCCGGGTAGATGACATTAGTTGCTCTTCTGTTCTCCAGCAACACTATAACTCCGTCATAAAAGGCCACCAAATTTGTTGGGTGCAGTTGGTCTTCAGTGAAGGCATGTTGGCTGTCACCAATCACTTTTACTAAAACAAAAAATTTATTTTGAATAATTTCAGCACAAGGTTTTATCTTTCCTTAGTTTAACTTTTATTTATGCATTTCCTGAACTCTTAAACACAGTTTGCTTTCTGACATATCTTTTTCTTTCTTTTCACTCCTTGTGAATTCAGTTTCTTCTATATTGTTTGACTCCTTTGGGTCTCAGTGGCTTAACTACAGGTCCCCTGTTAACTGCACTTTGTGGAAACATCTTATGTTCGCAATAGTCCTGTATGAGAAAAATACGTGGGGCTGACATTTGTAGGACACAGTAGTGTGAACTGCTAGAAGCCTCGCTGGTCAAGTTCCACCCTTCTTTCAGCAGGCACATGCATCTGGGTTTGGGAGTGCGAGTGAAGACTGGGTCACAGCAGCCCAGGTTAGCTTCCCTTGCTATAGTCCAACACCTTTAATATAGGTAGTGACTGTGGTAAGAATTAGCTTGCATTTTAAATCTTAGATAAAAAAAGACTTTTTTTTTTTTCAAGAGAAGAATATGAAAAGTCATAAGTTGAGGAATATTCTTTATGCGAATCTATCTGACAAAAGGGAGAAGGTGCCTTTCAGGTTAAATAACTAAATGCTGCACATCTTGCTTAAATTGACTTTATAATCATTAATTAATTAAAGGTACTTATTGTATCAGTGACAAAATATATAAGTAAAATAATTTTACAAAGTATACAATGTGTATGATAAACCTAGCAAAATATGTTTGCTAGTTCTGTGAGAGTGCAAACCTCTTCACACTAATATCCTTAGGATATTATTCTTGGTATACAATAAATTTTAATAATTGCTGAAGTCATAATCTGATTTCAGCTTTGAAACATGAATATTGAACCACTACCTTAAGTTACAAAGTAGTATTTTTGACCAGGGAAATAAAACAGCCGAGGCTGTGAAGTATCCTTATGTTTGCTCTAAGGAACGTTTTTCACTTAGTGTAAGTTCTATTTCCTCAACCAAGTATCAAGATAAAGGCACAAAAATAGGCATTATTGAGCCTCCATGGTTTGCAACATTGCCATGGAGCAGGCAGTGTGTCCCCCTTCTGACTCTGAAGGTGATAATATTACAAAGTGTGACTGAAAAAAAGGTGCCAGAACTTGCTTTTTACAAGTTTTTCTTTCTTGCTCGTATTCTTCTGTTCCAGAAGTTCCTATAAGGTCCAGCACAGCTATTAATATCTTAGGACTTAATTGACATATTCAATAGCAATGCTGAGTAAGCAGGTGCCAGTGCTGCATTACCTCCTTAATTTTTTGAAAGTGAAGTGGAAGGGTAAAAAGGATAAAACTGAAAAATTAAACAATCAGGTTCACCATGCAACAGCACAAGCAGATCCAGTAGCATTGCTACCTAAGGAATCTCTATTGGTGTATAGACAAATGGCTTGATTTGCTTGCTACAAAGGAAAACAAGTAATTTTTTAATAATATTTTATCATCACCTTCCCCCCCCCCAGATTTTTGATTATTGTCAGAATTGAATTTAAAGTAAGAGTGAATAAATATTCATTGGCAAGTCATGAAAAAATATTAAGGCAGTATGAAATGAAGTTTTGTCAAATTTGTATTGTAAATATTTATCCAAAGCTCGTGAAAAACATTTTTTCCCTAACATATTCATATTCATATTCATAGAAGGTTCTGCACTATACTACATTATAAGTGTGATGTAGTTGGTTTTATTTAAACATAAACACAAACAGAAACATGATCACTTAAGATTAATCTCTTTTAATAATTAAAAAAATGTTACATTTGAAGTGTAGGATTTTGAACTGGTTTTAAAACTAGTTTTAAATACTACCTTGTATTTCTGTCATGACTAAATCTAAGTAAAAGTTTTCATCTGTTGTGCACTATGCAATCAAATAATTGTGTGATTATTTTCATTTGTCAATTAACATCTTTCCTTACTAGTTTGAGGTTTTATTAATTTGGCTGTGGGGATGTTTATCTTTCCAGAACTCTTCTTCAGAGCCAGCTGTAGAACTGCTAGCATTGCAAGACATTTTAGAGGTAAGATAGTTTTATTATGTAGAGATTTGGGGGATTTTTCAATACTCAGATCATATAATAGTAATAATAACAATAGCAATAAAGTGGTATGCATTTATTAATATTACTAAGATGAATGACAGTATCTGGCATTTGGTTAAGATAGTTAATGTAGAATATTTAAGAATTTTACATCTTTAAGAAGGCTTCAGGGAGACCTCATTGCAACCTTCCAGTACTAAAAGGGGGCCTGTAAAAAAGAGAGAGAGCAACTTTTTATACAGGTAGATAGTGATAGGACAAGGGGGAATGGTTTTAAACTGAAAGAAGAGATATTCAGATAAGTCAGTTTTCTATTTTAATTCCTATCAAAATAAAACCCCAATTTTTACAAGAGCTGTGGCAATAATCTTCAGTTTAAGCTGGAGTGTGGTTATCTCTTATTTCTTGATTTTATAATGTTTAGTTTAAAGAATTTTTTGCGCCTTAGTGGCTCATATTAGGAGAGAAAAATACAGGGCTTAACAAAAAAATTGGTCCATTTCACACTATATTTTGTACTGTTTCAATAAAAATTTTTCTGAACTTAATGCAATAACAGTTATAGAAGAATCAGTTCATGTGTAATCTCAGAAGGACCAACTAATATGTAGTCTCATGCATGATTATCTTCTCATATGAGGAAACTGGTCCAATTAATGCATTTCTAATTTATAAGTGCTTTGTGTGAGTTTTTAATTACAGTGCAATCTATGAATTTGAATTACAAAGCATAATTTTCTTTCTTGCCTTAAATGTAGCATTTGAAGTGAAGTTTCTTATTCCTCCTCTATCCTTTCTCTTCAAACAGTTCAAAGCATCTATGTATATAAAATGTCCCTGGGGGAAAAAGTTTTTTTCTCAGGCACAACGTGATGGATAAAAACTTTCTGGTACTAAGATGCTGTTATCTGATCACTATAACATTGTTGTACTTTAGTTTAAAACCCAGGCTTTGTGCTTGCATCATCAAAATAATTTTACATGCTTCAGATATCTGAGCATACCTATTAATGTCAGATTAGGCAGAGCTTGAAAACAGATGAGAATTTAGAATTGGCACAGTTTCTCGTGGAATTAGAATTTTAAAGTTCTTCTAATGCTTAAAAATTGCCCTTCATATTTGATGTTATTGTTAATCTCCTTAAAATGTGAACACATCCAAGTAATGCCTGATTTCCATTTGGAGGAACATACTACCTTGAAAAATTCAGATTTGTTTTTAATTTTAACTGTCTTGGCCTAAAGTGTCAGTGTCCCTTATCTTTGTTTTCTGGGAGGTTTTTATTTGTTGAGTGATGTGGTTCTAGCTTGAAGTCCCTGTTAAAATTGAAAAGTGTTTTCTTACGTACAGATATAAATGTTACAGCCTAAAGGCTATTTTGGAATATCAGATGACAGAAGAGACTAAGTAAAAATTCATCTCAAATAATGCATTTGGAGTAAATTCTCATAATTGGGTCAAATAAGTACAAAACTGGAACAATTCTTCTGAATGTTCTGAGGAGCAGTTGTGTATTTGGAGTTTGTTTTTTTTAAATAGCAACAAGTGAAAAAAGAATATAGTCTGGTAGCAAGGATTTTGAGTTTGTCTTTAGCAATAAGGGGCAGACAATATTTTGTACTTACTGAAATTGGGAAAGTATAACATTTAGAACCTCTGAGTGGAAAGATTAAATATCTGGGATCAATAGAGAGAGCACCATGGGATGGGTAAGATTACTTAATCTGTAATGTGTGCAATATTCCCGATGAGCAATATTATGAGGGCATAAACACTGTCTCCATGAACTGAAAATGTATGTCAAAACTGATTTTGTTTCTAACTCTATTAATGAATTCTCTATTTAGATAAGGAATTTAGTCTATATTTATTTTCAATAAAAGGAGAATTCTGGTTCTAATTTTTACATAAAAAATGATGCAATGAAGTTAATTGGAAGTTCTTTGCTTCTACTTTGAACAGGTCTTGTATTTCTCCTGTAGTCAGTATTTCTTATATTGCCTACATTACAGGAATTTGTATAGATTTGGTTAAAGGAGATAAAAATCTAGCTCTTTGTTTATTTCCTAAATCTTATCCTTTTGGTCTTCCAGATTCTGATAAATAAATTAATGGCCACACCACATGAACCTTATGTGACAATCAATGAGTCGTTTTGGCCACCTTACATTGAGCTGCTGCTGCGATTTGGAATGGCCCTGAGACATCCAGAAGATCCAAACAGAATGCGCCTAGAAGCTTTTCACAAATAGTGTGACCTACATATGTACTTAAAAACAAAACAACAGCAGTACTCTTAATCCGGAGATAGGATATACTTAGGCATCATAATAGATTTCTTTTATATCGTCAATCACTTCTTGTTGGATGATTTTTAATATGTTATTGAAGAGTGTGAAATATGGCAAAAGAAAAAAGTCTCTTGGAAAAAAAAATCTTTTTAACTGCTTAACTTCTCAATTTTACCTGCTTAAGTTGGTCTTCTGTTTTATAACAAGATTTGCATTGTGGAATTTTTATTTCAGCTGCTTTTATAAGACACAAATTCAGGTAATAGACAATGTAAAGATGTTTAACAGTCTTTTTTTACTTTAAAAATCATATTTTATATATGTTCTATATATTCTATGGTTTAGATTTTTTAGATTGCCTGAAGTCTTCTTAATTTCCTTTAGTATTTTGCTGTATGCTGAAGATGCAAAATTCAGAGTAATGCAGCTCCCCCTGTACATGGCCTTGAAGAAATTTGGAAATAACAGAGAAGTGTCTGCTCAAGAATGTGCCTTTGCAAACAAATGTATTGCCTTCGAGATAAACAGTTGGGAAAGCTGAAACATCTTTCTGTGCAAAGTGCTGCAGAGGTTGAGTGTGCAACTTTACCACTACGTGCTTCCCACATGACCCATATTTTGTTATGCTATGTTTCCTAGCAGTATCTGTCTTCGCTTTTTCAGACCTAGTTTATCAAGGCTTGTAACAGGTCTCTCTTCTGTGGATTGCTACAGCTTCTAAGTTCTGTCAGTTGAGGGCTTCCTTCTGACTCCATGCTGTCATTCTCTGTAATCCTGGTCTTCTCTGTAGCTATTGTTATTGTGGACTTTGAGTACAACAATTCTGCTTTTGCATATCTGTAGTGACTATACACTTGAAAATTAAAGTATGTCTTTTATTAACCAGACTGCCATTTATTGACATAGGAACTTTAATGATTTTTCAGTAGATAGAAAACTAAAGGGTTGTATACTATCACAGAATGGTTTTCATGTCATAGCTTTTATAGAATGGTTTTGATGTGATTTTGTGATGAGTTCTAAAGGTAATGTAAGGACACATGGGAGAGGAAGGGGGGACCAATTAATATAAGTTCCAGTGCAATTGCCTTTTTTAGCACAATTAAATGTTAAATAAAAAAATTATTACATCTTGTATGGTTTTAAGTGAAAATTGTTCATTTTACCCACACAACTGATAATAGGCATGAGTACAGAACCCATTGTGTGCTGTTATGCATGAACATTGACTACTTTTTGCTTCATACTGCTTGTATAGCTATCCTCCTGCTGTATTTTAACCTCCCTTATTAAAATACTAGCTCTGATGTCTTGACTAATCTATATACATTTACCTTACAGTATTTTTAATTAATTATACAAATACCTAAGTTTCTTGGCTTTGCTTTATAGCATTGGCTCATTAGGCTTTTTCCTTCATTTATTTTTAATTTCTTTGTAGTCTGCTATCCTTTCACCTTATTACTAATACTACAAGCTCAAATACTTCATTGCCTCCAGATGAGTGCTTCTGTGGTGACATTGATAAGTTGAAGAAAAAATGTTAAACCCTAAGTAGTTTCTCGTGTTTTAGAAAGGAGAAAAATAACAACCTACACCATCCACCTCCAAAAACCAAACCAAAACAAACCACTATGCAGGAGATAGGATAGTTACAAATGAGTGGTCTAGAGGAGATGCAATATTCATTATTTCTCATAACAAAATCAAATCTCATTCAAGTGAATCATCAAAATAGATTTAAATAAAAGTACTTCATATAAAGCTTTATATTTATTGACTTATGGAACTCACTACTACAAAATGTGTTGTGAAGATTACATACAAAAAAATGCAAGTTTATAGAATTCAGATTTTTGAGTAGTTATTAAAGAAAATTGGAGTCAGCTGTTTCAGAAATCTCTATCATACCAATGTTGGACCCTGCGAAGATACACACTCCCTGATATCCTCCTGCAGCTGCACATATCTTACTGCATTCCCTAAAGCCTTTCTACTTAGGCTCTGGACATGCTCAGAACCCAAAACTTCAATGTAGAGCTTTTTCCTTGGGCTCAACACAGTCAATTACTAAGCAGAAGAAAAGCTGTAGAAAGGGGTAATCCATTTTCTCTCAGTGCCCAAAACGCACTATCAGTTTTTAAGGGAAGCTAGTTCAGAGCGATACAGAGCCAGCTGAAAACTGTAGCTCTTTGAAAAATCCTGACAAGTACATTGAAGAAATTCAAGGCAATGATGAAGAACAGATCTTATGAGAAAAAATTGGAATAATATCTTTCATCAGTAGTATCAACCATCAGAAATCTTGGGGAGTACACTGAAAAACAGTAGGGTAACTTCTCTATTTTTTTCTCTGCGCATGCCTAAGTGTTTTGAGTTAAAGACAATGTTGTCAGGGAGGTGGGACCTCTGATGCAATAGAACCCTCCCTCCTGGACTTACTGTAAATTTGAAAATAGAGATGAGGCTTTTTGAGCAACGTGTAGAAACAAAAAAAAACAGTTTTTACTAAAAAGTAGAGAATGATACAGACAAAGCAGAAAAACACAGTAACCACAGAGGTACAGGGAGAAAATGGTCTGTTACTGTCCTTCAGCTAAAACTTTTAACAAGCTTTAACAGTCACCCTTACTTCAAAGTAAGACGTGCACTTCCAAGGGGAAGAAATACAAAAAAATGTGAGTATCAACACCATCATTTTTATAATTAGCTGCACCTTGGAGTCTGTGACTTTGACATTGATTTCATCAGCATTGGCTCTGTGACCAAGAGATTACATTCTCAGTTCCACATGCTTAATGCCATATATATCAATCAGTACAAGTGCATCCAACATATAATGAAAAGTCAAACAAAGCCAATTAATGAAAACGTTGTGGAACAATAACAAAAGGCAGGGATAATAACAAAAAAAAATTCACTGCTGAAACCCAGTAAATCAGCCCCAAAATATGCCTTTGAAAACACTGTCCATCTTGACATACCAGCTGCATCAGTAGTAATCACAAAACTAAAATCCAGAAAGCATCCTATACTGAGATCCAACATGAGTGATGGCAAACCTGTGGATTGCTGTAGCTCTTCACATCCTTGAGATTTTACTTTTTTAAGTCCTGAACTGAAGTTCTGACACATATTGGAAAAAACCCAAACAAACCAATGTGTTTCCCATCGGTGATGTTTATTCAGATAGTTTTTTATTCTGTATTAGAGGAATCTCTTGCTGGAATGAAGTGTTGCTCAGGAGACAATTCATTCCTTCCCATCTTTTTAGTCTGTCAGGAGCTGATAACTTACAGATCTTGAAAATGATTTAGAGCCTAAAATTAAGGCAGCAGTAATCCAAGAGAAGGTACACAGGTTATTCATATCTTTTTCATCAGCTCTTTAGTGTTTGTATGGAGTGGTTCACTAGAAAATCTTACTGCAAGGGAGCACTATTTGCTGTTCAGATTTGATGGGATCCAAACTGGCATTTACATAAAGAGGAAAAATATGACTCACTATATAGTAGCGATTCTTCTGAGTATGCATACAGTGCAGAGCCCCCAACAGTCTTGCTTGTCAGAATACTTCAGTACAGAAAACTTTGTTTTGCAAGGAAATTGACCTAGCAACAGGAACACCTTTTTGCAGGTAGTATTACAAGGTTACAAGGAAGAGCAGACTGCCTTCATAAACTCAATTCTGCAAAGGACTGTGATTGATACAGACTTATGTGATTTTCTAGTGAAATAACTAAATTGTTCTACAGGTAGCTTTTCAACTTTTGATGCTGTCATTACATTAAATTGTTATATTTTTCTGCATTTTGTTGCCTTAAAGAAAAATAAATTGTGATTGTGAAAGTTTGGCATAAAAGTTTGGATATAAAGTTTTGGCAGAAATACACAAGATCTGTTTATGTTTTTAAGAGAGTGCAGGTGATGCTAATGAAGACAGCTATAGCTTGTTATAGGCATATAACAGGATCTTGGAAATATAAGCCTATCTTGAAACCTTGAATGTTCTTTACTGTTTTGGTACAATACACTACATTTTCTGTATGTTATATTGTATTTGAAGCTTTTAAAAAAGCAGAAGTGCAATAAAAAGTGTATAATACAGTCTGGGAAGGTATTACCACTTTGCACCTGTTTACTTTAAGTCTTCAAATCACTCTTCCTGTTTATGTATTAACAAAAGATAGCTAGTCCATGTAGTTTCTGATACAGTTATTTTTTCAGTGTTTTGGTTTGCTTTACTGGATTTGGTTGGGGGGGTTGGCCTTTTTTTTATTTCTTGTTGCATTTTTACTTTATTTGCTTATTTATTTATTTTTCTTCAAACTGTTTTAGCATAAAAATTTTTGATCATAACACTTTTACTTATTTCTAAATGTGAAATTCTAGTGATTAAGCCAGTGAGACTCTTTGTTTTGTGCATATTCTCAGGTAATACTGACACCATGTTTTAGTAGACTTTCCAGGTTAAACAACGAGCATTCCAAAGTACCTTGACAGTGCTGAACCACTCATAATTATAATCAGCCTTGGTTACAAGAAGTTCTTTGTTCTACAAACATTTTTAATTCTCTACTTTAGAAAATTTATTGTGTCAAATGAAATATAATCTTGCCTGTTCTTATTTGGCAAAAAATGCTGCTTGCAGGTGCTTGCAAATGAGCTTTTGATGATAGTTAGCTGTCTTGGTTTGAGATAGTTCAGCGAGTTGGAGACCTTGGACAGAAGTCTTCCCCTCAGATTCAGTACCCCTGGTTTTTCCAGTACAGACAGAGTGACCAAATACTCCTGAATGTAAGTGGAAAAATAACTCTTTACCAAGAACAATGCCAATAACAATACTGATAAAACTCAGTTAAAACCAACCAGACCAAAACAAGATGGTGGCTGGCCTCCCCCACCTGCAAAACACACACACAGCAGAGATGGCTGCCCTTCCACATGGTTCGCCTCCTGAACCTGGGGCTTCCACCACCACCTTGACGGATCCAGACTGCGACCACCACTTTGACAGGACTACAGCCACCTCTTCAACCCACACTTTGACCATCGAAACTACAACAACAAAGTCTCATCACTGGATCCAACCAGAGTCTTGAGGTCCTTCCAGTCACCTGGGGGGGTCAACAGCCCTGCCCTGACTGCCTGGACTGGCACTGCAGCTGCACTTCATCACCACGCAAGCACCTGCCAGTATTGAATCCCTGCTATCCGCCGTTTCCTGCCAGCACTGGCTCTCCAACCATTCCTGCCAGGTTTTCTGGGTGTGGGGATGGCGAAACACATGGAGGGGTGGCCATCTGGTCTCTGTGCTGTGGCCACGTGTGTTTCTTCCAGGTTGAGGAGGCTGGCTGCCATCTTCATTTGGTCCAGTGGGCAGGGCTTGGGAAGTTTCTCCTCATCAGTTGGTTTAAGCCAGTTTTATCAGTATTAATATTAGCATTTCTTCTTGGTAAAGAATTGTTTTTTCACTTACATCCAGGTGTATTTGTTCTCTCTGTACCCCTGGAGAAACCAGGGGTATTGAATGTGAGGGAAGAGACTTCTGTCAGAGACTGAAATGGTTGACGATTTATGCAGGCTTTTGACTGTTGCACTATACCTCTGATGGGCAATTGAAGGTGTCAAGCCCTGAAAAGGCAGGACCTCTGATGGCCCATAAAAGCCCATCCCCCCCTCTGCTAATCTAAAAAAAGGCAGGAACCAGGCCAGACACAGAAACTCTGCGCAGGGCCCAGGGAGAGTTTGGAGGCTTGAGGCACGGCCGTGACACTAACCATGGATATAATAACTCAAAACTTCTTGGCGTGTGGGGGCTTCCCTCCTTCACCCCCAGCAGATCAAGGCCACCACTTCAACTGACAGACATGGAAGCTGCAA